CTGTGAGTGCGTGCGTGCGTGCGTGCGTGCGTGCGTGCGTGCGTGCGTGCGTGCGTGCGTGCGTGCGTGCGTGCGTGCGTGCGTGCGTGCGTGCGTGCGTGCGTGCGTGCGTGCGTGCGTGCGTGCGTGCGTGCGTGCGTGTGTGTGTGTGTGTGTGTGTGTGTGTTTGTTTGTGTTTGTGTTTGTGTGTGTTCATGCTTCCGCAGCATCGGACGTCCAAATTCTCAGGGTGCAGGGTGCTTTACACGTGTTTACGCCGCCTTATTCCAGGATTCACGCGTTTCGGGGGGCTGGTCATCTTGTAGAATTCGGGTCATGCAAGAGACATCTTTGAGTCTCTGCAGGTTTTCTTCCGCATGCTGGCGGCTGCCAGCGGAAATGCCGAAGTCGAGGTCAAGGTGGCGGTGTGTTTGCCAGCACTACGGTTAACGAATGATCATGATAAGTTGTGGACCTCACTGTCGCATGTGAAAGAGTGGCCTTATAATCCAAATATAGCTCAGGTGCTGGCGAATGCATTGGTTCGGATGAAGGGCGCCCCGACTCACGCAAGAGCTTTGCACCATCGCCTTGCAAGTTTTATGTCAGTGGCTGTGTGTAACCCAAAACCCTAAGCCCTAAACCCTAAACCCTGAACCCTAAACCCTAAACCCTAAACCCTAAACCCTAAACCCTAAACCCTAAACCCTAAACCCTAAACTAGCCAAGCCATCTCACTCGGTGCGCAGCCAAGGGTTTGCCACCAGCATTGACCTGCAGACCTTGACCTTCGAGACCAAAACGCAGCTGTCTAAGCAGGCGCCTGGGCTGCAACACTCAGACTTGGAGCAGACTTTTCTTTGCGCGTGTTTGCAGCCCAGGCCAAATCCGTCAAGGACGCTGCAGCTGCCTTCTATTGATTCTACTGTCCCAAGCTACGACTGAATCTGCCCTTGCGAGGAAGTTGGTCGGCACGTGCGCCGCATCGCACTTTGACTGAAAGAAGTGCAGCTGGCGACGGCCAAGCGCCGACGAACACAGATGAATCACATGAACGCAGTCTTCAGCACAGGATCAGGAAGCAAGATGAAATGATGTTTTCTAGGAGTCCTCTAGGTAAAGGGACCTGCAACTGCAACGCTGCATGCTGAGGAGAGGTTGCTTGAAGTTGGATCAAAAGGACGCTGGCCTGCAGTAACCGAGTGTTAAAAGAAGGCCTGCTAGGTCTGCATGTCGAGAGGCCGTTTGCACATGTCGGAAGCCGGCTTCTGAGGCCAGCAAACATCTGCACCATCCTCGCACGACTCTTGTCTGCAGCAGAATTTCCATCAGATGTGTGGACAAGACGTGGACCATTCTTCTTTGTTTGTTGGAGGCTTTCCCGTACTGCACAGGACGAGTCAAAGCCGACGTTGCTGCGGAAGGTGAGCTTCTCGTCGAACGATCGCGAGCCGGTCGAGCGGCCCAAGGTCATGCCGGCAGTGCCAACCCGAGACAACGGGATCAGTCATGCGACTTGAGCTGTCATCGCAGACGCATGAGGTGGCGTCGCACAAGTCCGCTCTCCGGCCACGGTGCCCAGTGGAGCCGTGAGTCTTGAACGCATTGAGCGCAGGGCACAAATTGACCTTGGGCTTGTGAGTCATGACATGTTTTGTTCTCATTGATCGCATGCCAAAGTCAAGCAGCCGCTAAGGATGACACTGGACCTTTGATTGCTTTTTCGCAAGATGAGTTTGCATTCTGTGTAGCTTGCTACTTTATGGCAAAGAAGGATCGGCACCGGAGCCCGACTGATTGATGTGCGGAAAATGTCACCTGACACCACTATGGTTATCGAGCTCTTCGAGTAAACAGTGGGTAGCGGGTAACGTAGTCCTGCAGCGTGAGAGGGCAACGCCACCGGAGCTTGCCATTCCGCGCTGCCACAGTTCAGGGGGTGGTGGTTTGTGCTTCGTTCAGAAGCCAAAGCCGCAGAGCTGCCAAACGTTTCAAACAACCACTTGCTGACAGGGGCTTCTGCGCACGCGAGCTTTGCAACTTGCATTCAGATGCAGCCAGGGTGCGTGCAAGAGCCACGCAAGCTAGCCGGGCGTTGCAATGCAGCGTGCGCTCAACTGGATGTGCACACAGATGACTCCTTTGATTTGTCAAAGGCGATGCCCAAGGCATGCAGTCATCGGCGTGACAAAAATCGTGTGTAGAGGCAGAGGCAATGCAGACTTGCCCAAGCGAGTGAAGACATGGGGGACATTGGCCGATTTGAGCCAAGGTTTCAGCTGGAAAGGTGCAGGGCCCAGACTGAGAAAGTTGAGTTGTCATTATGCCGGCGCTGGAAATCCCTCTCGTTCGTCATGGTGCATTGGAGAGCGATGTCTTGCATGATCCCCAGGTCATGCCTTCATGCCAAGACACGGGCACTGCCGTTGCCGGCGTCTGAAGGGAATCGTGGGTAAATCAAGCAGAGTGTTCTCAATGATTCTGCGTTCACATGGTGGTGGCACGGTAAGGCCATGGTCAAGAGAGGAAGTCACGTGCTCACGGACGGGAGGGACGAGGACGCATCAACGCCTTGCTTTGCGGGTTTTCGTTCCAGGTGCGTTTCAACAGTGGCAAGTGAGAAGGGCAGCACCATAGGCACCTATGATCACCCATGGGCACCACTGCACTAGCTTGCATAGCATGCCTTTCCATCGTCAGTTCGTGTTTGCAGGGGCAGGTGAATTCAAAACCCCTTGAACCTCAATCCCGGCAATGCAGGGAATGGCCATCTGTCGGGCATGGTTGCCGTGCGATCATCCGCCTATGATGTGAAAGACATGCTGCTAGCTGCATCCTGCAGGAGTTCATCTCTCGAGGGGTTTACAAAGCCTACACCGAGGGCTATCTGCGCTACTCGCAGGCAGGTGTGCTGCTCCTGCCAAACCTTTTGCTCCAAAGTCATCTTGCCAGGTTTAGGGTTCAGGGTTTAGAGGGTAGAGAGTTTAGGGTTTAGGGTTTAGGGTTTAGGGTTTAGGGTTTAGGGTTTAGGGTTTAGGGTTTAGGGCAGCATGCTGGGCGAGGTGGCGCCGCTCAACATGTTCGAGGAGGCAAACACCAAAACCAACCTGCCAGCGCAGATTGACATGATGAGCCAGCTCGCTCCTCAGGGCTTAGGGCTTAGGGCTTAGGGCTTAGGGCTTAGGGCTTAGGGCTTAGGGCTTAGGGCTTAGGGCTTAGGGCTTAGGGCTTAGGGCTTAGGGCTTAGGGCTTAGGGCTTAGGGCTTAGGCCTTAGGCCTTAGGCCTTAGGCCTTAGGCCTTAGGCCTTAGGCCTTAGGCCTTAGGCCTTAGGCCTTAGGGTTTAGGGTTTAGGGTTTAGGGGGTTGTTTCTTCACAACCTTAACCTGTCTGAGCGATCTGAACAGGCACGGCAGCTCCTACGACGTTTTCTACATTGCGAAGGGTGGCGGCAGTGCCAACAAGACTCAGCCCTGCGATTGCACACATCGGTCAAGTTTTGGAGCCTCAAAGTACGCGAAACCCTAAACCATAAACCCTAAAATCCTAAAACCCTAAAACTTGAAACCTTAAATCCTAAAACCCTCAAACCCCAAACCCTAACCGATCTGTCGTGTCATTATGTCGTTTTCTCCGAGGCTGCTGCAGAAGACCAAAGGCGTGCTCAATGAGAAGGCCGTGCATTGCCGTTGGTCTCCCTTAGGGTTTAGGCTTTAGGCTTTTAGGCTGTTAGGCTCTAGGGGTGCTAAGAGAAGGGAAAGATTGGGCCATGGGCAATATTATGGGCGCGGGGCGGGGGCACTTTTCTGCGCCAGGCCTTTATAGAGTTCGTGACGGAGCAGGTGCAGAACATCGGTACAGCAGCTTGCCCTCCGTGCCCTGGCCATTGCGTAGGGATGTGTGGGGAAGGGGACAGGCTGGTTGCTTGAGTTGGAGCCTTGGAGCAGTGTTGCGGCCTTCCTTCACTTCAGTCGGGCCTGCAAGGTATCACCTGGCACTGGTTGTCGGTGGACTCTCAGCGGAGCAGAACTTGAAGACGGTGGGAACCCTTGCAGAGCAACGAGAGGCTTTTCAAACTTGTTGCAACCTCAAGCAGCGGTAGGTGAAGCTTGCCAGCTGCAAGTACCTGGACGGGCTCCCCACCTCTGGCAACAAGCTGGGCCGCGCCTTTCGCGATTTGGAGTGGGAGGAGTGAGATCGGGAAGCCCTAGAGCATCCCGAGAGAATCTGAGATCTTTTACGTGTGTTGCAGCTTCATGCGGGCAAACAGAGTGCAAGAAAGCCAAATGCTGCTGCTTGGGTGTGTCCTGCATCCCTGACAGGAGAAAGTCAAGAAGTTGGCCCAGGCGAAGTGGTGCATTCTCGTTCACTGTAAACCCCAAACCCTAAACTCTAATCCCTTGTAACTTGTAACCCTAAACCCTAAACCCGAAACCCGAGTTCCCTGGCGCTCCGGTGCAGCTGGCGCCTGCAGGATCTGGGCATTGGTGCGCAATTCGGTGGCAAGTGCGCTGCTGCAACTTACGTGCTTGCCATCCCGGGTTTGAGTATGGAATGAGGGTTGCTCCAAAGGTCCGTCCGTGTCTTCCGGTTCTACTGTAGGTCTTATGAGGTTGCTGAAGGGGTTGACAAACATGTCACTGAAGAAGGCGCGAGGAAAAACCCTTTCCCGCGAAAGAACAACGACAAGCTGTACGACTCAGTCAGTTCAACCATTTCTTGTCGACGCAGGCTGTGAGGTTGTCAGGTGCTGACAGGATTGGTAGGAGTTTGCGACAATGCCGCGGAAGTAGGATGAGCCAAGCGCAGCTCTTGAAAGCTGCCAGTGACCTGATGTGACAATAAAGCCGTCCAGTGCGTGCTGGACCTCGAGGAATGTGCGAGAGTTGCGCGGAGGTTGTGCGAAACGACTCGGCAAGTTCAGGGCTGGTTTCAGGGCAGGAGCCCGCTCCAGCTGATGGACATAAAGGGTTTGCACCGCATCCTGCGCCGCAAGTGCCACTCGCCCGTGCCAAGAAGCGTCATGCCAGCAAGGAATTTGAACAACGATAAAAGAGGTACTTCCTTCATGACGTCCGCATCGTCCGGCTGCCACGTCACGGCGACTAGCCCGGCTTCTGGAAGCTGTGACACACAATTGGGGGTGCGAACTGGTAGGATGATCTCCTTAGAGCTGAAATGTTCCTACAACTCATCTCTTTCTCAGGCGCTTCCTGCCCTATTGGCATTGGGGTTTCCTGCTCTGCAGACCGCCAGGCCAAGGCGGGCCAGAATTTCTTGGCTCTCATGTGCTGTTCGTAGAGCTTTGGGCTTGCATGGTGCAATGGTTCCTCCGTTCGTCGGGAGCTCTTCAGGCGAAGATTACTGAAGAAGGCGTCTTCTTGGAGCAGTTGGAGACGGAGCCTGCAAAGTGAGCAGCCAGCCACCTTCAGATTGGAGGGAGTGCTGTCCGTGGCAGGTACTTGCCAGATATCAAGGAGCAGTCGCTGGACAAGGGAGGTGGCAGCCCCAGCTGTACCAGCGTTTTTGAACTGATAAAAATCTTTAGGTGTTGGGTGGCTCGAGGCGAGATCGTCAAAGTCGACCTCAACAAACCCATGGAGGAGCCATGCCGGTGTCAGGATGCTGCAAAAGCTGGTCGAGAACAAAAATACCATTTGCTGTGGCTGCCTCTGTAGTGTTTCACATTTTGTGGTGCAGGAGAACTTGAAGATCTTGAGCAACTACCCGGTGGCAACCCGACTTGCCCTGCAAGAAGCTCAAATTTCATCCAGAGCAGGATCTTTCTGCCATGCAGAAGGAGAGTCGCCAATGAAGCACACCTGCGTAACTCCTTCCATCTGCATACAAAACCGCACATTTTTTGGAATGGCATACCCACGCTTACATGTATTCATGGTATCCTATAGTCTCAACATCGTGCCAATGCCTCTCGCCTTTGACCCGAGGACGGGAACCATCATTGTTGCAAGGGACATTGCGCACGCAAAGATGCAGGACAGACAGTAGGGTTTTGGGTTTAGGGTTCAGGGTACAGGGTTTAGGGTTAAGGGTTGGGTTTCTAGCGTAGTCACGGGAAACATAAGATGCGCAGGATGAAAGCCCCACCCAAAGCCGTTCAAGAGCCCAAATTGTATTTGGAAAGGCCCCGGCCCGAGGCCCCATTCGACCACTCGACCCCAGACATTCCCTGCACAGCAGCCGTCCACAGGAAAATTCTGCCTTAGCAGCCGTAGCGTTCTTCCACCAAAGGCTTGCAGTTTTACCGCACATCGTGGCCATGGTTGCAAAGATGTAAAGCAACATCCTAAGTTCGACCTGCAACAAGTATGACGCCCAAACCCGGCAAAGCGACGGGAAGGCAAAGGGCTGTCTGAAACCCATCAGTCGCATGCCAGGAAATGTTGGATTCAGGAAAGGGTCTGCCGGAGTGCCCCACTGTTTGTGCATTCCCATCAAGGTAAGCGCATGATGAAGCTTGCAGGTACATCAAGAAGTACCCGGTGTACTATGCTGGACCTGCCAAGGAGCGAGATCCAGTGACCAGCATGTCGCCGTAGCTTACGACGTCCACGGACCATGACTGAAGATGGCACACGGCCAATACTAATTACGGTACCATTGTGCTCAGTCTATCCTCTTGCCATTTTGCAGACTCCGGCTGGGATGCCTTCTGGATCCTTTGGGCCAACGACTTCAGGAAGAATGGACCAGCGACTTGGTCTCGCATCGAACGGCGAATGTGACTCGTGCGACCAGCGTTTGATGCAAGAAGAGATGTCGAGGTATGTGGGCACCTTCCAAGCACAGTGCCCTCACTGCAACCGAGCTCACGACCTCACGGGCATGCATATGACTAGATACAAGGATTTTTTCACCGCCCAAAGAAACCCAAGGGGCCCTAACACTGACAGCCGAGGGGCGGCTCGATGATCATGATCGGGACCGCCTGTGTGGGATGGGGCCAAGGCTCAGGTGTTGACAGTACTGTAAGGAAAATAGTGTTGTATGAATATAAGTACAACAGGATATGAACACAATCGTGTATACACACATATATATATATATATAGTCTTTTTACTCATACATACATATATATATATGTATACATATACAAGATAGATATATATATATATATACACATACTAGACACACGTGCGTGCTTCGCACGCACTTAGTGTCTGCACCAGCCCACGATGCGGAGGTGCGTGGGAGTGGTCTAGAGGGGACGGCCCGGACAGAGGGGGAGCGGGGCTGGCTGACGCGGCCACGGGTGTTTGTTGGGTTCCGGGTTGGCTTTAGGATGCCGGGCTTCGTCTTGAGGGTTCGTGGCGCTTTCACGCCTGGCGGGGTGAAGGGGGTCGGATGTGAGCTACGGGGTGGGGTGGGGGTGGGGGTGGGGGGGGGGGTGGTGGGGGTGGGGCAGCAAAGGCCCATGAATGTGAGGCAGTCTTTCGAATCAATCTACCAACGTTATATGGATTTCATAGCTGCCCGAGTGGTATCAGTCCACAAGGCTAAAACCACATTGTCGCAGTGCCAGCGTGTCAAATGTCGATGAGCGCGAGGAACCACTGAATTATTCCGCCTCTCTTCTGTGCTCTTAGCCTTGTGGACTGGTCCCGCGCGAGTAGCTATGAAATCTCCATAACCTTGGTAGATTGATTCCCACTAGACTTGTCATGGCTTTTGCAGTGAGCACTTCGAAATTGCCCCCCGGGGCTTTTCTTGCCGTCTAAACGGTCACAAGAGCACAGACCATCTGTCCCTCTCCCCGCAGCACTGTTTCAACGAAAATCTTCAGTGACAAACTGATTAAGACGGCGCGTGGGGGCACATGGCATACAGCCTCCGGAAAGGCTCTCGAACCCCAGTCCCTGTCGTCGAAGTTCGTCTCGCCTTGCACCTTTGCGGAGTCTGCGTCGAAGTTCTTCACCTTTACTGCCCTTCCGCCATCATGCTGCGTTCAGGTCGCCTACAGGCCTTGCGCTGCACTAGTGCCTAAGCAGCCGGCCTGCCCTCCTCCGTGGATGAAAGCCAAGACCTTCTGGGTCTCGCCACAGCTCAGCACCTCTTTGCCTTACGTCCTTCTTTTCCTTTGAGGTCTTGTCCACAGAGCAGAAACTTCCGCCATGGAGGCAAGTCCAGACCGTCTGGCTCTCGACACAGCTCGGCACCTCTTTGCCCCTTACATCCTTCTTTTCCTTTGGGTCGAGTCCACAGACCAGAAACTCCCGCCATGGAAGCAAGTCCAGACCGTCTCGTCCTCGGCGCCTTTTTGCCTTACGTCTTGTGTCCTCCTTGCTTTTCTTTCGGATGCGCTTAGGCTACCTCGTCTCTCGGGGCATCGTCGCAGGCCGTCTGGCCCTCGGCAACTCTCTTGCTTACGTTTTCCTTTCCCTTGCTGTCCCATCTCAGGCTTCATCGTCTGTCTATCTCTCCTGCTTTTGTACTGAGGCCTCAGTTCAGAAGAAGGCCGTCCCGAAAGTCTGGCTCTCAGCACTTCCTTCTTCTTACGTTTTCCTTTCCTTTGCTGTCCCATGCCTCAGGCCTCATCGTCTGACGTCTATCTCTCCTGCTTTTGTTCCTGAGGCCTCAGCTAAGAAGAAGGCCGTCCCGAAAGTCTGGCTCTCAGCACTTCCTTCTGTTTACGTTTTCCGTTCCTTTGCTGTCCCATGCCTCAGGCCTCATCGTCTGACTTCCTCTCCTGCTTTTGTGCCTGAGGCCTCAGTTAAGAAGAAGGCCGTCCCGAAAGTCCAGCACTTCCTTGTTCTTACGTTTTCCTTTCCTTTGCTGTCCCATGCCTCAGGCCTCATCGTCTGACTTCCTCTCCTGCTTTTGTACCTGAGGCCTCAGTTAAGAAGAAGGCCGCCCCGAAGTTCTGGCTCTCGGCACTTCCTTCTTTTCTACCTCTCATTCTCGTGCCGAAGCCGAAAGTCTGGCTCTCGGACTCTCGGTACTTTCTTTTTGTATAGCTCTCCTCCTTTTTTACCTGAGGCCGTATCCCAGTTGAAGACGAGTGACTCTCCGAAAGCCTGGCTCTCGGCACCTTTCCTTTCTTTCAAAGAGTTTTTTTCGTCTCTTTTGCTTCTTCGCTTTGTCTGCCTGTCTCTTCTCGAACCGCCTCCTTTGTAAATCTTAGGCCGCTGCCAAGTCCGCCTTGACAGCGCCTGGCACCTGGATCGCCAAGCTTTTGACGTCAGGCGCTTGGTTGTGCATACGAGTCCACACACCCTAACTCTGAACCCTAAACCCTACACCCTGAACCCTAAATGAACCCCAAGCCCTACCTGTGAAAACCCTAAACCCTACACTCTAAACCTTAACCTTGGGCAAATCCTGCGGCCTAGGCCTCACTGAGAAGCAGACCTGAGCGGAGCTTTTTGGGCATTGGGGGGCTGTAGGGTGTGGCCCCTTTCTAGGCGCCCTTGACATCAGGGTCCGTTCACTCATCCCAAAACCTAACCCTAGACTTGGGATGTTCCCCCCCTTATCATTACCAGCGGTCCTGAACAGGGTTCGAGTACCCCTATTAGAATCCCTAATGTTCTCCTAAAATCCCCTACTCTATCCCCTAAATCCTCTTAAGGACTGTAGAGGTTCGGCCCTGGTCCATCTGAGGCCAAAAAAACGGTACGGCCGCTTGGAGCTCACAGCATTCCAACACTGATAAAATCCTTTTGCTTTTTGGCAGGCGTGGATGCCGAGGCGGGCATTCATATTCTGTCCGTGTTCCGCTGGCCATTGGCCACTTTTGTTTGTTGCAGGTGGGGACAGCAACCGCCCGGCACCTTGACACTGCAAGTTTCGCGGTGCGCGGCGCTCGTAGACTTCGTGCTCTGGGCTGTGGGGTGGGGGGGGGGGGGTGGGGGGTGGGTGGGTCCGGTGGCGGGGTGGTGGGGTGGCGGGGTTTGGGGGGGTTTGGGGGGGTGGGTGGCGTTTTTGGGATTCGGCCCTGGGGACGCGGGGGGGGGGGGGGAGGGGGGGAAACCACCCCGCGTATTTGCTTATATATATATATATATGTACATATCAAGTAACTGGGGTCAGGAAGGTGATATGGATATGGAGCGCGCGCCACCGCTGGGTTGTCGGGCCGTGCCCAGTCGGGCTTCAGGGGATGTTCGTAGGATCTTCCGTCCGGCGCCAGGAAAGGGAACCGCTCCAAAGCGGTGACCAACGCTTGCAAGGAGCATGGAGGCTGCCGGGAGAAGTTGAGTGCACTCCACAGCTCGCGTTCGCATCTTGAGCTTCGTGAGAGATGCATCGGGCTCATGAACCACAGGCTTCTACCTTGGCTCCATTGGCAGTTCACCCAGGTATGCCACCTGAAATCAACTTTGGAAGCAGCTTGCTACGAAGTCAGGTGGCGTCGCTGCAACCCTCAGTTCCAACAGCATCAAGAAGGCGCGCTGCGTTCTGTATGGCTCAGTCATCCCTTTATCACTGGCGAGGCAGGTTTCGCCTCAGTAGTTGGGTCCTTGCAGCTCTCCCACAAACTTTGGAGGGTCTAGCGGACTTGGGCTGCAAGGAGTTGCTATTGAATTATGAACCCCCGAAGCCCTAGACCCTGAAGCTTTCTGTGCGCAGCCTGCAGGTGGAGGTGCTTGACATGGAGGAGCTGGGTATGGAGGTGCCCTGCTTTCTTGTGGGCCTCTAGACTGACAGTTTGGCTTGAGGCGTTTTGGGGGTGGGGGGGGTTGCGTGTTGGGACTGTTGGCATGTTGGGTGTTGATTTTAAGGGGATGAGGGGATGCTGCCACACCTGAACCCTACTGCTCCAGGCAGTTTGGAAGATAGAGGTGGAGGATTTCCCGGCCTTCGTCGTCTGCGACACAGTCACCTAGGGTCAAGCTGTTCAGCTGGAGGGCGGCAAGGCATTAGGAATGTCCCTTTGTGCTTCAGGTTGTGGACAACAAGGGCAACGACTTCTTCAAGAAATGGTCGAAAGAGGCCCACTTTTCGAAGGGTTGTCATGAACGCACTTTGCAATTAGCGACCGTTGTTGCGTCAGGCTGCCAAGGAGCCTGAAACGGACTCGTTCTTCGATGAGACCAAGGCTCACACCCCGTAGTGGGTTTTTGCAACGTCTCAGCTCTGTCTTACTCTTCGAGTACGAGTTTTGAAGGCTCTGAAGGCTCTGGGTGTCATCGCTATAAAAAGCTGTGTGGCTGCCCAGGAGTTCTTCTTCGGCCTCGACAAGAACAAGACAAATCCTCAGACTGCTTGCGCCGACGTCGGACGTTTGTAGCCACCCACTTGAAGAGATCGCTTGGGATGTTTGAGGGATGGCAAGCTCGGGGTGCCCGACCTGATGCGTGGCTTCAGCATCGATGAGCAGAAGGTGGCTCCTGCGGTTCACCACTTGAACTGCAATGAGCACCTGCGCCATGCAGGCAAAGCAGCTAGTGGATCAGTTTGATGTGGACAAAGATGGCTGGATAGACGTCAAGGAGTTCGAGGTGCTAGCGTTGCAAGCTCTGGGGGAACCAAAGAGAGTCATGTGAGATTGAAGTGTTCCCCTGGACAGCTCATGCTTTTCAAGAGCGAGGAGTTGAAACAGCAGCTTGGCATGCAAAACTGTTTTGTTCTGTTTTGGCCGATGTCATTTCCGCTGCAGTGCCGTCGCTCCCGAAAAGATGGGCCTGTGCTGCAAGTTGCTGAGGCAGATGCATGCATAAGTGAGCCAGGAGCCGAACACTGGTGCTTCATCTTTGGGTCCAGAAATGCCCGCACATAGCGCAATACTGCATATATACCGTCATGGCAGCGTCTCTAGCTTCTCCTGTTGCTAACTGGAGCCCGGGTACTTCGAAAGGCTGTTTGTGCCTGCAGAAGATGCCCTGCCCTGCTCTACTGGCTGGAGCATCAGCACGCTCCTTCGCAGTGCGTTGCAGTCGTGTAGAGAGCAATCACCAAAACACCGTTTTTGCTGCTGCAATCCGCCGGTACGTGTTCCCCGTCTCTTGTACAGAGGGCTGCCGGCATACCATCTTGGCGGATACGAACATGTGTACTACGAGTTAGCCACCTGAGAGTGCTGCAGCCACTGAAAGGCACCCCCCCATTTTCCCCTCCCTTCTTACTCTTAGACGTCTTTTGGGGACATCCGCGTGGCAAGAGAAAGCTGGCAGCTCGCCAATGAATCGTTTACCTCGGGTTCCAATTCACTCTCCTGGATGCCTTGCTGGTGAAGCGGCCGGGAGACAAGTGCAGCAGTCTGAGATCAGAAAAGCAAGCTCCCTTGCTCAGCTTGCTCCCTTGGGCGCCATCTCTAGGGTTGCAAAAATGCCACCCCTAAACCCTCAGCCCTAAACCTAAGCCCTAAACCCTAAACCCTGAACCCCCCAAGACCACAGAGTTGAAGACACTGGGGGGGGCGGTGGCCTCTTCAGCTTTGTGTTCACCTGGAGAGGTCGTGGCGCGGGTGGATCTGAGCCTGTCGGGAATCCCAGGCTGCCTTAGGCTACCAGGTTGCCCGATGGCGTGGATCATTCTGGGTCCATCTTTGGGAGGTATAGCAAGGTAAAGGGGCACTTGTTGGGAACAGCGCTCCGATATGGGGGTTTACGAAAATAGGGGTACCCTTTTTTGGGGTCCTTATCATAAGGGAATCCTACTTTGTTCTTGGGTGCCCTGTTGTCGCAAACCCCCTGTCACGTTTAGGGCAGAGCGCACTCCAACGCTTCCCTGAGTCCAGCCGGACAGCAGCGCCTGGTGCAAGTTCTGGTGGCGGTGGGCCCTCTCATGAGCTATCTGGCCTCGTGCGCCGCACAAGGGTTCATCAAGTCATCTTTGCCTTTGTAGAGCTCGTTACGTTGGGGGCTTATTCGTTTGGACTTAAAGATTCTTGAGAACATGTGTGAAAGGGAGGGTTGGAGCCTCGCTGCGCAGCAGTTCCAGGTACCTCTGGTGCTTTCACCGAGACGATACGCAGATATCTGAAATGCTGGCTCCGCTGGTGCTCCCGCTCACGTTTAAAGTACATAATGATAGAATAAGATAATCAGATGAGAAGATGAGAAAAAGATACTAAGATATTAAGATATTATCTGAATGAAAAAATATCTAAATAAATAAATATATATATATATATGTATATACATGTATAGATATTCAGATATGAAGATATGAAGGTATGAAGGTATGAAGATACCAAGATATCAAGATGTTAAGACAATGAGATGAACAATACTCAATAATGTAATAGCATCATGGTATATTCATATCGTAATATTAAGATAGAAGCATGCAACAAGGTCATAATTACATGAAATACTGTACTACTGTAATCATGCAATCATGCAATGACGTCATACTTGTACTAATATACTCATATAATCATGTAAAAATATTTGGGGAGGGCAGCTGGTTACCTGCTTCATGATCCCCAGACCCCTGCGGCCCGAGGCCTCGGCCAAACCGGTTTTGAAGCAACGAAACGAAGCGCAGCCAGGCCTACATCTCGAACGGTCTGGCAGTTGGTCTGATGACCATCTTCGTTCACGTTGAGGAGCAGGCCCCCAGTCTTCCAGGTGACATGCGGCAGCTTTGGGATTCAGTCGACGTGTTAAGGGGTAGGGTTTAGGGCTTGGGGCTTAGGGCTTAGGGCTTAGGGCTTGGGGGCTTGGGGTTTAGGGCTTAGGGCTCAGGGCTTAGGGCTCAGGGCTTAGGGCTTAGGGTTTAGGGCTTAGGGTTTAGGGTTTACGGCGTTTTGATGTTACTTGTAACGTTGTATCGTTCTTTCAGTAGATAGCCAGCTGCCTTTATGACTAGGAAGCAGGTCGAGTTCAATGAAGAAGGGCCAGTGCTTGACGGTGAACATATAAGTCAGCTTCTTTTCTGAAGCCCGCCTGCTGCAGAGGAAAATGGCGCGATGGTGCCATTCTCCTTCAGAGGAGTGCTTTACCTGGACGTCTTTGGCTGGGTCTCCCAGAAGCAGGATGCTGCAGGACAGTTCAGGGGAAGGGCACAGGGAGGGCAACCCTAAACCCGAAACCCTAAACCCTAAACCCTAAACCCTAACCCTAAACCCTAAACCCTAAACCCTAAACCCTAAACCCTAAACCCTAAACCCTCAACCATTTGAGCGCGAGAAGTGAACCTGTGCGGCGAGGAGACGCGAAGGCCTGGACCTGCATCTGTCTAAGTCTTTCTATGTGGGGGGGTCTCAGGGTTTGAGGATTTGAGGGTTTGAGGGTTTGAGGGTTTTTAGGGGTTTGAGAGTTTGAGGGTTTGAGGGTTTTTAGGGGTTTAGGGTTTTGGGGTTTTAGGGTTTAGGGGTTTAGGGTTCAAGTGGTAGGATTCTCTTATTATAAGGACCCCAATAAGGTACCCCTAAGTTCGAAAACCCCCATGTCTGAGCAAGCACATGCAGATGTCAGGGTTGTTCGATCCTGTCAGGCAGAAGTCGTCGCCAATCTCCAGGCCTTGTCCTCAGAGTCGTGCTGCCATCACTCTGCACTTTGCCTGAAGCCTAGGAGAATTCACCATCTTCTGGGGGGAGGCCTTTGGAACTTGGAGTTTTCTCGAGGCGCACCTTGCCACTGGTTGCCAGGAGGGATGACTCAAAACCGGCTGCATCGGCAGTGCAGTATGCCTGCTTCTCAAAAATATGGGAGGATGGAGTGCTCCAGCACTTGTTCTGGTAGAGCAGTCTTTAATCTTTGGCCAAGGACTGCTATGGAAACTCATTGCCATGCAAAGCTGCTGACAGTGGGCTGCCAGGCTCCCTAGAGGCGAGCTGAAGTAATTAACTTCATCTAGGGTTTAGGGTTTAGGGTTTCGGGTTTAGGGTTTCGGGTTTCGGGTTTAGGGTTTAGGGTTTAGGGTTTAGGGTTTCGGTTTCATGGGTGCTCAGGTTGCGATTGAATCCGCTGCCAACTGAGAAACTACTTGCCAGGATCTGCGGTACCTGCCTGGGGCACCGCGCGCCTGGGACACCGTCAATGCCATGGACCCCCCGGCCAAGGATCTGCGGAGCAGGGCTCGGGTGAGACTGGATCACATCGGAAGTCTGATATCCAACTGCTTGGCTCCTTGACCGCCACTGCCGAGCTCAACATGTCATGAGCAATGTGAAGTGAGAAAGTAGCTCGCAAGCATGCCGCCACCATGTCCATCCATTAAGACGGCAGCTGAGAAAGCAACAGCACTCAGCTCACGCCACACGCCGCCAGCCATGGTGTGTTGCTCATCGCATCTCCGCATGTAGCGTCTCCGCGCTTCTCAAGCCGACGCTCGCTTCGAGGCGTGGTGTAGTATTCCGGTTGTAACTCCAGGTTAGTGGCTTCATCTACTCATACTGCCAGGCCATGAATGTTCCCTTCTTGCCGCTGCTGCTCTCCAAGAGCGCGCGTAGACGCCTTTTGGCCGCCGTGCTGCAATGGAAGTCTGCTTTCTGCATGCAGGCATGCAGAGGGACTCAGCTTTCCATGACTGAGGATGAGATGCAGCAGCATGTCCTGGAGCAGTGCACGAAGGACCATGCGCCGTTGTCGCTTGTAACTGTTCTCCATTTGCAGTGAAGGGGGAGGTGTACTTGCGCGCGAAGTTGACATCGCCAGGATCCTGCCATGCCCGATGCGCTGCAGAGCTTAATCACATCCCTGGTGCGGGTGGCCTGGCTAAGCAAGTTCTGGGCACCTTAGAAGGGGAGGAGAAAGATAGAGGAGGAGCTGCAGATCACAAGGTTTCTCGAGGTGTAAATGTAGTAGAGCCTGAACAGCACACGTGGCATGCTTCTCACGGCAACGATCGCGATCGGTGCTGGCTGAGCTACTGTTTCCGGCAGGTTTTCTGGGCTGACATGGTCGTCGAGCTCGAGCTTCTTGCAGTCACATAGCATTGCTTTGTAGGCTCTTGGTGGGATGCTGCTAATGTCAGGCGTCTAAAGCCTCGTATCTCCGAGGCTAGATGCTTCGTCCCGTAGACGCGAAGATGAGGAGGAGGAGTCGACAGGCAACTGGCTGCATTTGGGGGGCTCGCCGTCTTGTTTCACGCACGCTGATGGCTCTGGGCAACATCACTTGATCTTACTTGTATGTGGCTTAACCAAGCCTGCTGGTCAACACCCAGACCCGCTACTGTAGTGTGAAAGTTTTTGGGCAGACACAGATGTCGTGTTTCCCGTCTCGAACTTGAATTCAAGAGCAACCCGAATATCTAAAACCATACAAAGGCAATTGCACGTGAGGGCATATGTTTGCATGTCTACATTAGTATATCAATAAAATGCCAGATGATTATGTAACTAGATTTTTCTGACGAAACGGCTATATTCCTATATTGGTTGTGGCCTTTCGCCTGTTTCCGAGGCAGCCTCCCACACGGACCTCTTGGTCCGGATCTTGGCTTGCTGGCCAGGGAGGAGAGATAGGAGCAGCAATGGAAAGCACCTGCTACTGTATTGCTATATTGTTGTATTATTACGCTACGTTAATACATTTCGATAGTATGACATTTCTGGATAATTGGGTTATTAGATGATGAGATTATTAAAGATTTAGGTAATTGGATTACTAAATTTGTAAATTATCCTAATATTTTGTATTAGTATAATTTTCCATTAGTATATTATCACATCATTGTAAACGCTTGCGCGCGCCGCCTCGGCAGCCGGGCCGGCCCCAGGACAGGAAAGGAGGAAAGAGGGTTTCGCAAAAAAAGGGGGGGAGGGGTCGCCCCAGTCCCACAGCAGCTTGTAGTTTAGGGTTTAGGGTTTAGGGTTTAGGGTTTAGGGTTTAGGGTTTAGGGTTAGGGTTTAGGGTTTAGGGTTTAGGGTTTAGGGTTTAGGGTTTAGGGTTTAGGGTTTAGGGTTTAGGGTTTAGGGTTTAGGGTTTAGGGTTTAGGGTTTCGGGTTTAGGGTTTAGGGTTTAGGGTTTAGGGTTTAGGGTTTAGGGTTTAGGGTTTAGGGTTTAGGGTTTAGGGTTTAGGGTTTAGGGTTTAGGGTTTAGGGTTAGCTTGTGAGCAACAAGCCCGGCTTTCAAGGGACAGCCGAGGCGAATTTTCTGGCTCCATTGTTCTACTTCGACATTACTATATTGTTAAATTATGACTACTGTGACTTCCGAGGCCGGGCATTGTCACCATGGTAGTGGCCGGCCTGTTTGGCTGGGTGGCTTCGGAGTGTCAGTCGCCTCAGAGCTTTGCGCTGCAGGTTAGGCGCTTCTTCCCTCGCTGGCAGCAGCCAAGACCTGAACTGTCCAGAAAAGAATCTCAGGTGAAATCAGATGCAGACAAGATGTCATGTTGCACGGATTGCGCAGCATGCATGCCAGTTGCAGTTGGCTGTCCTGCAGGTCAGCAGCGAGAAGAAGAACTGGCTGCCGCACCCGACATAGCCATGACCATAGCCACACGTTGTACTGAGTCCTTCGTTGTGCAAAAGTCTGAATGGATTATCCAGTGGTGTGGAAGAGGCCACTGGCATTCTGCAGGCATTGGGGCATGTCAAGCAGATCATCATACTTCGCTGTAGCTTTGGACTTTGTTTGTTTTGACAGCCGAAGCCTGCAGGTGCTTGTGGTTGAGGCTCGTGACTTGGTGCCCGTACATGGCATTGGCACGAACCCTTACGTGCCTTGGGCTCAGCCAGCCTAGCAGGTGCTAGGAGTCCGCACTTGGCTGAAGCAGAGCCCATGACGAGCTGGCGCTAGGCGTGGACGCCTGGGCGAGCAAGTCCGGCGGAGTCGAACAGTCTGGACACAGCCGAGCTTTATGCAATTAGTTCCCGCACTACTCGCAGTAACCGCTCCTGTTCAAAGCCACTTCTAGCTCAGGCACAGAGAGACACAGATGAGAGCGGTATCTTTTTTGGCAGGAGCAACCTGAGACCAGCTTGGAATTGCCTCATGGAGTTCCCGGTGGTCTCAACTCGAGGTGCAAGCCCTATTTCAGTGTGTTGTAGCTGCATCCTTCAGACATCTTTCAGGTTTGGATCTCACATGCCCAGGCAACCTAGAGCTGGAGGTCATGAGCCGCGCACCCCTCTTTGGCCTCTCGGACTGCTTTCGGGCTCCGGGTTTAGGGCTTAGGGTTTGGGGTGTAGGGCGTTTAGGGTTTAGGGTGCATTGAGGGTCGGGTGGGTTCAGGAAATGAACACGTCGCCCCCAGGTGGCGACACGCGACTTGGCTACGTTTCCCTGAGCCTGGACGACATTACCTCTCCTGCGTCGGGCTTGGCTGCTGCGACGAGAAGACGCGGGCATCCAGATCACTTAAATTTCCAAGCTCCGGCAACCTCAGGCGGCGGTTCTGACCACTGGCCCAGGGGACTCCCAGTGCCTCAGCAGCCTGCAACCAGGAAGTTCAGGACCTGAGCTGGAAGAAAGAATGTCAGGCTGGCCTACCGCTGCGAGCCTCTCTTGGGGGCCCAGAGAGGGGAGCTGGTCCTTGCCTCAATCGCAAGCTGACTGTCTGAATTTAGATTTAGCAGAAAGTAGTAAGGTTCAGACAGCGTACGTTTTTGTTCTGACCAAGAGTCTACGATGTTTGGCACGTTGGTTGAGGTCTTGGTTTGGGCTGTTTGTGTATGCACGCTTTTTGCTTAGTCGAAGCTTCCTCTCCTAAGCCCACCTTGTTGCAGTATGGTTTTCACAACAGAGTCCCATAAACGAGGAGTATACTGTTTGGATGTGTAGCAGGGGGTACCTGTATGTCAGGAAGAACCTCATTCCAGTTCAGGTGCTCATCATGGATTACAAGAAGCTGCAGGCAGTGCGCCGTCGGCTATCTTGCTCTGGCCTAAAGATGCGGGCAGATTGCAGCATCACATCTCCCGGCGTTTCTGGGGCACAGAAATCCCTGTAAAACCCTACACCCACCGAGGTGGTGCTTTCGGGAATTCATTGCTCCGTCGAGCAGCACAGCCAGGAACCCCAGCAGATTGCCGCACACGATGGATCCATGAACGTTTTGAGGGTGGACCTGGGGGTCTTTCCTGGGTTGCTCGTAAGGAAGGATCTTAGATGAAGTTGCACCAAAAACAAGGCAGCCATATGATGTACAGTAGCACGCGTAGCCGAATCAAGACAAAGCCTCGGAACCAGCAGGCGCTGCAACACAGCGTCTCGGGCTGGTTGTTCGGAGTCGCTGGTCGTGTCATTCGATGTTGTCGAGGGGTCTTTCTTGAGATAAGGGGTTCAGCCTATAGACAGCATCAGTTAACTACTAATATGAGCCCGACTCATAGCATCGAGCCCAGCGTCCGTGGCTTGAGGTTCAGGGCCTTCTTCCTCTACCACTACTGGCCCTGTCCAGCACGCAGTTGCGCTGTTGCTCCTTGAAGCCAGGGCTGATCTTCGCCCCAGCGTGGCGTGATAAGGTGATAAGTCTATCTTCCAGATGTACATGCATGAGCCGATTGATATCTGCTTATTGCCAGCTGGCCTGTTTTCGTTCTGCAGCCGGGGAGCAGGTAGGTTGCAACAAGCCTGCTCTCCAAGTTGTACTCTGAGCCAGGCTACTGTCTTTGAGCCCGTTTGTGTTTGTTCGGGTGGTGTTTTATACAGCCAGGCCCCCAGTCTCGCATTGGAGCCTTGTACCTTCCTGTGATGTTTTCTATGTGCTGGACTCCCGAGGTTCTTTTGCTGTGTTTATGCGTCCCGTGGCCTCCTGATGAGCATCAGATCGTTCAGTTCATCCTCGCGTGCAAGGGAACAGCTTGGGCCTCGACTTAGGGGTTTTTGTTATCGCCATCAACTCGAGTTACTCCGCTTGCTTGAATCCCAAGCCTTGAAGCAAGAAAGCCCGGCTAGCGGCTAGGAGGGTGAGGCGGGTGCGCTTGAAGCTCAAAATGTCTAAGTGAGACAATTTGCACGAGCGATTTACCTTCGACAGTTGACTTCGACTGCTAGCAGATACCGTCCAGAGCAGAACATCTGCATCACCCAGGCCATTATCTCGGATGGTGTGAAGAACTCAGAGTCAAGGATTCTGAAGCATCTTGCCCCTGCGATGCTGTTAGGATGCTGGAAGCTTGCACTTGGCAAAAAGGCCGGGCGTGTCTTCTATGGGATCTTCACCTACTACCTGTGTGCCCTTCACTGAGGACATACGCCAACCCCTACCAGGGCAAACCAAAAGAATCCTCATGCCTTCATTTAAAGAACCTAGGCCAGGGAGGGCACCTGCTCCACTGGCGGTGCTCCTGGAACGGGCGTGAGCTTCACATATGTGGCGCTGGATCTCTACCAGGAGGTGCGCCCATGTTCCATGATGTTCCGTGATCCGTGGCTTTTGGGGGGCATGAGATGACGCAACCTGAGACCCCTGAGCCTGCAGGTGCTCGTTTGGGCCGTGAGAGGCTCAGGCTGAAAGATGGCAAAGCTGCAGCTGAGGATTTGGCGCAGACCTGCCTGAGGTTTGCTTCCTGCTCCTGCCCCATAGCTTGCCGTACCTGAATCGGGGGACCGGAGCGTCAGGCGAGGAGAAGGGCCAACGGCCAAGGGTGGAGCCGAGGGGAGCCCCTGTCTGCCATCACTTCAGCCGGAAGGTGCGGGTGATGTGCAGAGAGACGTGAGCACAGAGGACGGGACATGACACCACAACCTTACAGAAGGGTGGCGAAAGCTTGAGCCTAACTTATTGGGGCTGCGACCACTTGGCTTCGGAAATGAGAATGAGATGCAGTGATCCAGAGGACGTGCATCGTGGAGGTCGCATGCAGGCACTGCTGCAGTCGGGCCCTGATCTCTGGACTTCCTATGTCTTCCTTTATTTGAGGGATCCTTCCCCCCTCCCCCCCCCCCCTTACTGCTCAGGTACAACATGCTGGTGTTTGCGATCAGCCTGGCGATCTTCCTGACATTGCCGGGCACTTGAACGAAGCCTTGTTATCCGCAAATGGGAAAACCTAACCTGCCGGGGAATTTCGCAGCAAAGGTCGGCTCGGGACATGGTGGCATTCAGCTGGGATGAAACCGGTCCTCACCTCTGATCAGGTTCAGGAGTAGCCAACAGTGCGCTTTCAGATATTTTCAGATGCAGTCAGTGGCAGTAGCAGCAGAGGGAAAGAGTGCAGGAGTTGTTTGAACACATACCTGATCTGCAGAGATGTTCTCGAACCCCCATGCTACATGCCGCGCGTCCCAAGGCTTGCTCGCGGCAGTCTGGAGGTGCCGCGTCGCGGAGAACTTTTTCTGGGCGCGCGCCATCTTTGGTGCGCCTCTTAGACTTCGCAGCCTCATAGCAACGACCGGCAGCTAGATGTCTATCTGCGAGTCCCCTTTGCGGGGTACCTTAGGGGTGCCTCTTGATCTCTCTGAAAAAGCATCCTTTTGTTGAGCGGACCCAGACCCTCAAAAGATTGGGAGAGCACTGGCTCAGGTCTTTGCATGTTTCCCTTCCTCTTCCTGCTGCATCCACAGATCAACAAGCTGCTGACCCACAGTACACCGACAGGCTACACCCGTCGGGGCCCTCCTTCACTGCCTGTTTCGCGGTAGTCCAAGCACGATGCGAGAGCTTCGAAATTTCGACCATCTAAGGATTGGGCACATTGAAGAGGCACAGGCCCATTTTGCGGCCCAAAAGGCCAGCCCAACAGCCAACATCTATCAAATGCAGCGCGCACCAGCGCCGAAAAACGAGCCCTGGAGGCAGCCGCCGAGCGAGAGCCCTGAATCCGTCAGGGAGACGCTTAAGGCTGTGGTTGCAGAGACAAGCTCTGCTGAGTTACCTTGACATGTTGAATGCCAGAAAGGAGGCAATTGAAGAATCTGCCCCTGCGACTCCGAAGCCGGGTCCTGAGTTTGTGCAGTGGGGGCCAGGTGGCTGGTTTCCTGTCAACAGGCCGGATCAAGAAGCCACGCCAGTCCAGGCCCGGCCAGCATGGGGTTATTTCAAGTTTCTTCCTCGGGCTTATGCATGTTTCCGTAACAGTTTAAAAGCCCAGGGCAATTCAGAGACCACGGGATCGGACGTGACCTCAGCCTGTCCTTTGGGTCGTTTGCTTCACAGCCAGCTTGCACCGCAGATGCTTGGAGAATGCATGTGATGGAAGCTATGCGCAAAAATTGGGTCACAGCTCTTTGCACCTGTTTCCGTGTAGCGCTTGCGAGTCATGCCGGTGCTGAAATGAGGCTACCGTCTGCAGCACTGACAGAGCTGATCCAATCGCGGACTGTTCAGTGTGGTTGCATCTTGATAGGTTACAGGCCTTCAGACAGAGCGCTTGCAATTGTGCAGACAGAGCATGTGAAATTTCGGGCAGGACTTGCAAACAGTTGTTCGTCGCCTGCCCGGCGGATCGCTTGCCTTGAGGGGCGGTAGCACGGTGCTGAGTGCACGAAGACCGATGTGCTCATGCTGTCGTCCAGCACTTGAAATCCAAAGGCCTGTGTGTTTGGGCGACAGGCAAGGCGGTGGCGTCCTTGCTACAACATTGCGTGCAGCTGCTGTTGTGGCATGTCGCTTGGTATCCCCCACAGACCTGAGGCAAAAACCGCGGTGACTGTGGTGTCGCTGGAGATTCGGGTCGCCAGTGCAGCTGTGTCGTTGGGTTTGCGGGCAGCAGATGCAGGCAAGGTGTTCATTCCAACGAGCTGCAGCGTCGAACAGCACTGCTTGTGTCAGGGCGCACGACTGCCCTGGCCGTGGCGAGACGAGTCGTTCCAGGAAGTGACACTGCCGTCGTGCGTTTTGCTCGGGCTCGTGCAGAGGGGGCAGAGCAACTCGTTGCCGGGGCCCTTGCAATGGAGGGTGCTGGCTTACACGTTAGAAGCTGCATACGTTGAAGTGCGGGTGCCAAGGTCAAATTGGTCCGCTGTTGTGATCGCGCTTTGCAGGGACCAGTGCTAGACTGAGCTGGAAAACTCCAAGCAATCCCAAAGACATAACGGGACCTAACGTCGCAGAATTCTAGCGGCGCTCAGAGAAAGCTAGATCATCCCAAACATCCATCAGAATACTTGGCGCCGTTGAGGTGGGTGTGGCAAATCGCATCGCTGGCCATGTGCCCGGCGGCCGCACGGCCCTGTCCGTTCTTGGCACCTCAGCTGAGCAAAAAAGTAGCTATACTCTGAGCCTGCGTCCCTGAGCCACAATAGCGATAGTGACGGTGATCGTGATTGTATCACTAGCAGCAGTAGTAGTAGTAGTAGTAGTAGTAGTAGTAGTAGTAGTAGTAGTAGTAGTAGTAGTAGTAGTAGTAGTAGTAGTAGTAGCAGTAGCAGTAGCAGGAGTAGTAGTAGTAGTAGTAGTAGTAGTAGTAGTAGTAGTAGTAGTAGTAGTAGTAGTAGTAGTAGTAGTAGTAGTCGTAGTCTGTTGTTGTGGCGGCAGCAGCAGCAGCAGCAGCAGTAGCAGCAGTAGTAGTAGTAGTAGTAGTAGTACTACTACTACTACTACTACTACTACTACTACTACTACTACTACTACTACTACTACTACTACTACTACTACTACTACTACGACGACGACGACGACGACGACGACGACTACGACTACTACTACTACTACTACTACTACTACTACTACTGATACTACTGCTACTACTGCTACTACTACTACTACTACTACTACTACTACTACCACCACCACTACCACCACCACTACCACGACCAGTGCCAATGGCAGAACGAAGAGAAGCAGTCGCATTCGTAATCATACTGACAAAAATCGTAGAATCAAGAATCATAACAATAAGGGCAACAATAATCATAGCCATGACAACAATCTTTCACAACGTGGGTTCTGTGAGGCAGCGTGAGTCGGCTGGCTGGTGGCCTTGTGCGAACCTTCTATCGGATGGCTGCGGTTGTGGAGTCGCCTGGTGAGGCGCTGCTGGAAGCTTCTGGAGTAGGGGATTAGGGTGTTTCGGGATATTTGGGCTCCTGGGGCAACTTCGGATGCAACTTGGTTCGGATGCAACTTGGTTCAGGTCGGGTCCAATGGCGAGTGCAGCTCAGCAGCAAGAAATAAGCTTGGCCCTGAACCATGAACTCGAAATGGCAATAGTGCCCGTAACAAAGCTAAAAAAAAGAGTAGCAGCGAGCCAAGAGCCTGTAAAGGACGAGGCCAGTGACAAAAACCAGTAACAGATCTAACATGAAACCTGGGATCCAGGAAGCTGAGCGAAACGTTTCAAGCGGGGAATCATCCAGCGGGATGCCTAATGCCGCAGGCATTCGCTCTCTGGGCATGTGCAGCAGGGCATCCCAAATCGAGTGGAAGCCCCACCCGGGAGAACCCCGAATCTCGCTCGAAGCCTTCATAAAAACACCTCGTCGCTTCGTTGCCTTAGCTGGCCGTGCTCTCTTCGAACAGGAGAGCGACGTACGCTGTCAACCCATTATCCCTAAACCCCGAACCCCCCAAAAAACCCAAACCTCTAAGCGCCTGGCTGCACCGTCGGAGCCGCGTGAGGGATGGAACGTGCGGTGAGGTGGCCCACGTATGGAAAGGTTGAACGCGTGTGTCAGAGAATGCGCCGCAGCGCCCCCCGGAACATGTCGGGCGCCCTTCCCAAGGCTTCAAAAGTCTGGAGATGGAGGCACCGAGGATTTCCGGGCCTTATTTCCGCCTTCGCCGAAGCTTTCTCGGTTCCAAATTTCCGGGCCTGAGCCGAGGTTTTTTTTGCACAACTTGGGCCAAAGATTTGAGTCTGAGTACGGACTTGTCTTAGGCATCTTCACTACTTGAACCGAGGATTCTATATGTAGCTTGAACTTGGCCTGTTTCTAAAAGCATCTTCGCAACCTGAACCGAGGAGTTTGGTGTGCCTAGGGCCTGTTTTTGGCTTCTAAAGAATCTAAAGCGTTTTCGAGGGTTTCTGTGAGGTGGTTGCGAGGTTTTTTGTGTGTACCTGGTGCCTGGTCCGAGAAAATCGTGAACTCTTGAAAAAGCTGATTGGCCTTCTGAACCGACGTGTTGTACAACTAGCGTTTGTATAAGAAATGTTACCACCGAATTGAGACTTTGTGCATGAGTTAAACCTCATGAGTGTGAGGCCTTCATGAAGAAAGCCCTTAAACCGCCAAGTTTTCGATAATGGTGGGTTGCTAGCTCTAAACGCTCAATCCGCATGAACCAAAACAGCCACAGCGCCGGAAACACGGACCCAAGGCGAACAGCTGGCCGATTCGCCCCTGGGCATCCAGGCGAGGAGTTGGGGGCTTTTGAGGTTTTGGGGGCGTTGGGACCCTGAAGTATAGGGTTTGAAGATGCTCTGAATTTCCGGGGTCATGTTTGCCACGTTGAAGCAGGGCTTTTTTGACTGCTATTGGTGAGTGTATACAAGGTTCCATTTTGATATTGGTGAGTGTATACATGGGTGTCCTTTTAAAAGGAATGTAAACCCTACTTCACATGTTGTGACCTAGCTTTGTGTCTGCCGCAAGGCCGGGCTGCCAACGCTACTTGGCGGCAGCCGAGCTCTGACGCCTTTTAAGCGTCAGTTTGTTAGCTTGGCGTGTTTTCCTGAATTCGGGTCCCCCTTTTGGTGTACCGGCGTTCATGTTAAGGTGCCCGTCATTAAAGAACTGCCCGACCTCCGACTAGGATCGAGCTGCTGCAAGCGGCAGGCCGCGCTGAAGCACGTCCGTTTACCAACCGGGCATGCCTTTATGACTGCAGTTGCAGCGAAATCGGGGTTTCCCAAACTAGGGCTACCCTGTTTGGGGTCCTTTGAAGGAGATTCTATTCTATTTGGGGGTATAAAAGGTTAAAAGGAAGCCCCCAAACTCGGCCCGATTGCAGGTGGCAGTGAGCTCGTCGAGTTGAGCGAAAAGGCCCCCAGCGGAAAAGCAGGGTTCAATGCTCGGTTTGGGAAAGTTGTACGTCATGAGTTCTCAAAATTATGGTCTTTTTTTGGGTACCCTAAATATTAGGAGCCGCCTCATAATCGTAAACCCGCCCCCAAAGAGGGACCAGAATTTAGAGAAGTGACCATATGAGCTCTTCTTGATTAGCGCGGCTTTCGTGATCGTCTCTGCAGACAGCACATGTTGTCAACTGAATTCGGGACTCTTGATCATGTGGCTGTCTCTCCCCAGTTCATGGAAACGCGGGCAGGCAGAGCTGGTGAAGCTCGAAGCGGCTGCCAGGCATCTGTCGTAGGTCTTAGCGTGTTCGGGATGGCTCAGGGATGGCCAGCAATAACAGGAGTCCAACGATGTCTACAGGCACCATCAGGGAATATCAGGTGCAAATTCGCCTCCTGCCTTCTCCAGCAAGGCGTAGCTAAGGTCATCTGGTGAGTTCTGTAAATTACGGGCCCACCCTAAACCGTAAACACCCTGAAACGAAGTAGCTAAGTTTAGCTGTTTTTCGAAAAGGTTGGTAGACTTCCCGTGTTTGCATGCGTTTTGCAATCTTCCTCACGGCGCAGTTGCTTTGCCGATCTCTTTTCTGGTGCAGGCTCAGACAAGCCTTCTGCTAGCCTGAAGTGCATACTTCCATTGGTCCATGACCTTCCATGCAGGCCGCAGCTCGATGGTTATTGTTCTGCCTTCTTCCCTATTCAGTCTGGAGCTGTTCGGGCGTCACCGAGGAGTCTAATGCATTGAACTTCGTCCAGAGGAAGGTGCTGCCACGAGTCGCTCCGCCGCCCACGCTTTCAGCGGCTCAACGTGCAACTTCAAAGCCCTGGCAGATGCACAAGTACATCTTTGTTGCTTATCACAAGTCCGGTTCTTTTTTGATGCGTTACCTATGGAAGTTGATCTTCACGACTCTTGGTGCGGCGGAGGGTGAAGAAATGGGTTGGTGGAATCAGCCGTGTTATCCTGCTAATTGTTATCGACCAGAAGCACCGATCCAGTTTTGGAGTGACTTCTATTCGTCCGAAGGAGCGCAGGAAGCAAGAGCAGCTTTCGGCACAAAAGGCATGCGCGTCGCGGGAATCGTGCGAGATCCGGTGTCCATGATCGTCTCAGCATACTGCTATCACCATCGGGGCGAAGAGCCATTCGATGTCATGTTGGGCAATGGAACCTTAATGTACTTGGGCCCCAAAGAAGGACTCAAGTTTGCCGCAGAGAGGATGTTGCCGATGATTGAGAACATGACGAGTGCCTTTGAGCAGCCCTTCAATGATACTTTCCGCCTAGTCTATGAGAAGGTCACCCAATCTTCTAAGGGCTTCGACCAGCAGGTTGGAGAGATGGTCAGATTCTTGTTTCAGGACCTCATTACTCCGGCACAGCGCAGCCAGGTCCTCAACGCAACGAAATCGGAAGATCTGCATCGTCACCCGGACAAAGAAGGTGATCATTCGAACGACAAAGAATGCGAGGACGAAGTGCGCAAGTACGTGCCCTTACTGCCCCCAGAGCTCTTGTCACGATACCGCTCCTTCCAGCAGCGACTAGGATATGCACCCTCATGAGAAGTCTGTGCCAGCTGGGCCGCATTGGCGAGGGTTTTTTTGGCCATTTCCTAAGGAAGTCAGGTCCGCAACAATAGCTTGAGGCTTGCTTCAGAGACCGCTGTGCAGGTTGCCTCATGTGGTTCTTGTGAGCGCTGCGGCGAGAATAAGCATGTGGGTTGTTCTGCGTGTTTGGGCCCATTCTAGGTAGCTTCCGGAACCCATTTATTCTTAAGTCACCGGGGAACCTAGAGACTTTCAAAGCCTAACCCCGTAAAACCCTAAACCCAAAAACACAAAGAAAACCTCAAGCTCTCTAAGGAGTTTATATGTGCATGCGTGTATGTTTATGGACATATGTATCATATGTACATATTACGTACATACGCATGCAAATAATGACCACCTGTGCGCAAAAGATAGTTGTTGGTATTATTCACGTGCGTGCACCTTGTAAATGCTTGTAAGAATACTAGAAGTAAAGGTGAAAAGACCCTGGAAACCATCCCACCTGTCAGTCTTGCCCATGAATGCGCCCTTGAGACCCTGGCTCTCACATATCTTGGTCTAACCGTTCACACCCTTGGATTCATCACCCAGTTCTCACTTGAAATATCCTGACTTAGAAACCGTACCATCATGAGCCTTTCTACGTGACAAGAACTCTTTTGACAAGGAATCCACCCTCGGGACCCCATATCTATACTATTCAAAGCCTGTATTATAAGGAATGTATGAATTGGGCTTTGAATATTACGGGGGCGACAGGAAAGCCCCAACTTTAGGTTCACTTCGTTCATGTAATAGCGTGCGAATGAAGGGGAGAAGACGCACGCATCACATTTAAGCGGGGACACATTAATAGTAAAGAAATCTCTGAAACAAATGCACGCGTACGTCACGCATTTCATTCGCTCTTGACCATGCATTCATTGGATGATTGGTGCATTAGGGGTGTTTCTTGCGTCTCCTCTCCAGGCAATGCAAGTTCGTATGGTTTTTCGTATTAAGATAGTCGTAATAATAGTGTAAAGAGTCCCACATAATATAGGAAGTTTAAGGGGCTTATGACAATTTCATCTTGCGACCCCTGAAAGAGTACTACATGAGGGGGTCTTTGTGCGTTCACTTATTCATTTCATTTCGTGCGGCATTTCTTTCACTTCGTTCATTACATTGCTTTCAAATGGAGTTCACGTGTAAACTCTGAACCCTAAACCCTAAACCCGAAACCCTAAACCCTAGACCCTATTTTAACAGGAACACCCGACTGGCCCATTTGAAGTCATCGCTATTTCCCTTTGGAGGCTCGCAGAGCTCCTCACGCGCGCGGAGCGCCTCGCGGAGCGGGAGGTGGCCGAGGCTTTTAGTTTTGGGATCTTTGGTTGCCTTAGGGTTTAGGGTTTAGGGATTAGGGTGTACAGGGTTTAGGGCTTAGTCGAGGGTGGCGAAGGGAAGGGAGTAAGTTGATGGAGACGCCTGACCCTCTTGCGACAAAGCCTCGCTGAGCTTGCGATGCTGTCGTGACTGCGCGAAAGCTTCGAGGGGATGCCTAGAATTTGTCCTCCTTGTGCTGACTGGGCATAGTTTCGTGCAGGCCAGGGAAGCATTGCAGCGCGTCCAGCCGGAGATCAGCAAGATCTCGCAGGCAGTCCGAGACAGGAGCGAGTTGCGCCGCAGCTTCGTGGTGCAGGTTGTAGGGTTTAGGGTTTAGGGTTTAGGGTTTAGGCAGTTCATGTCACACTGACGTACACGTGTGAGGAGTCAAGGATGGGCATGGGAGCTGCAACGTGCAAAGGGCACTTGCGCCGGTGGCTGAGGTGGTACAGGGTCAGAAGCCAAAAGCTGCCTAAATCCAGGGCACTGGCCTCCAAGGAAAGCATGTGCCGCTCCACCGTCGCTTGGACGTCTGCCGGGCACTTAGTTTGCCTTCCGTATCCGTACCTTTTGCCTGCAACCTGCGCCCATGTGCAATGTCTTGTAAAGCCTGTGTCGATGTCCAACTTCGCTTCGAAGGATCTGGCAGGTCGACTTCCTGTAGCCGGTCAGGCGGAGCTGCGGCTGTTGGTGTCGAGTCCCCCTTTTATGTTGGGAGATCTGGGGGCAAAGGTCCTTTTGGGTGCTTTCCGGCGGGAGCTGCAGGACTGGAATGGACTTTGTTGTCGGGCAGTTGATCCTTCAAGCGCAGCTGCTACAAGTTTGACCAGTTCTCAGGAGCTACAGGAGCAAGGCCGCCCTGAAAAGACCTTGGTGCAAACTCTGGAGGCAGGGAGTGCTCGATCCCATGCGGGCTTCTGACATGTCGCCGGGCTGCGCCAGGCGTACTCCCGGGTGCTTTTCTCCTCAGCTTGTGAGGCTGTTGGGCAGTCTCACGAGGGTTTCTCAAGAGCGAGACAGAGCCCCATTGAGACAAGTGTGAGTCAGCGTGGGCCAAGCGCGAGGCAAGCGCGAGGCAAGTGTACATCAAATGCCGCAGTGATCTGGCAGAGGCCGTCTTAGAACTTCGACCCCAGAAAACGCCCCTGGCGACGCCCACGAGTCCGGGGCCGGCGCCTTTTCCGAAGTTCCCAATGCAATTCTCAGAAACCACAAGTTTTGCATGGGCATTACCAGACCAAAGGGCCTTAAACTTGCGAGTGCCCAGGTTCGGAAACGAACGAAGGCCCGGTTCAAGATCGCGCTGCAGCAGCCCCACTCCCACTCCCAAGGCTGGCCTCAGAATCCGAGAGCTCTCTCCTAAAGTGAAACCTCCTAAACCCTAAACCCAATGGTCCTCTAGACACGATCATTCTCATGGTCTCGAGGCTGCCCCACTGCGTGGCCAAGGCCAAGTCTCTTTCCGCTTCCTTTTTGGATCGTCCGAGACAGAAATGTCGAATGAAGTGAAGCTGCTAGGTGGGAGAAGCTGCAGCCTTCCCAGGAAGGCTCGCAGCGAGGAAGGCCCCGATCGGCCTGTGCCCACGCGCGTGGTCTTAACTTAACTAAGAAGGCCCTTGGGGCATTTTGTATTTTCCCTTATTGGGTTTAAGAGGATCAGCTTCAGGAATGTTGTTCAGAGAGTTTTGAGGGCCATCCTAGTTAAATGCTGGCTAGATTCTGAGCATGTGACCACGTATAACTATCCCTGCCACAGGCCTCGACATCAATATCATTGATGCACGTGGCAACACCGCACCAACTCTGCCAGAGGCAAGGCTAGTTATGTGTGATGAGCGTGTGGTTGACGAGGTATGAACCAGAAAGTGTCACAGCAATTATGTTTGATGTCTACTCTTACACTCATAAGTAGTACTTCTACGACGACAACTGCTGCTGTTTCCAGTAATTGTTATTTTGTTGCTACTAGTGATATCACTACTATTTTACCTCTCCATTCTTTATCATTATTACTTTTACCTATATGATTAACAGGCCTATTGCTATACAAAAAGTATTACTATTTCTATGCCTCTCACCGGAAACCAGGTGAAACATGTTTTCCCGTTTCAGCCTTGCGTTGCAAGGCGCGCCGCCCCGGGGCCTCCGTTCTCGGCGCGATGCGGTATCCTGGCTACAAACACTGGCAGCAGATACTGCATTCTATGGAGCTGCTTTATCACATGTGTGGTTGTCAAAATTATGATCCCTTTTGGGGCGCCCTGATTGTTAGGTGCCGTCTTCTAACAGGGATCCCAAAAGAGACCATCATTTTGACAACCACCCACATGATGGGCACGTGCACATCTCTCCCTGATGTCTGCAACAAAGGCGGCTGGCATCCCCGCGGCAGCTTGGATGACAGCGCCCGCATAGCCAGTACCTCCCATGACACCACCAGATGGGCGATCAGAATCAGTCAGCGCATAGTCGCCATCGTCAAGCATGTCATGCATCATGGCCCCAAGCCTCAACCGTAAGACGTTGAAGCACGAACACCGAGAACACCAGAATCCACAACTCCACAACCCACCACCTTGCCACAGCCAAGGCCATGGGTTGGCCTGGACGTCGCACAACGACCTCCATCCCCAGGCCTGATTGCCAAGAGTATGGCCGGAGTTCCCGTGGGGGTTAACAGCGTTGAGGTTTCACAAGACTCGCTGTCGTTCAGTATTCACATGATGCACCCATACACAGGAGCTACGTCGGCAGATGAATCTCACAGAGACCTTGCAAGCGAGGTGGCTTGACTGAAGCTGTAACTTCTATATTCGTAGGATTGCTGACAGGGCAGGCTTGTAGTGGCAGATGGTATTTCTCGCAACTCGCAACATCTTCCTCAGACGCAATCCGAGACACAGCACTCAACCTGGCTCAGGCGCGCACTTCCACCACTGAGCAAGAAGCAACAAACTTATCTCCACAAATGACTGAACTCAAGCCGCAGGCCTCGCAGCCCACGCCCATGCCACTGCCACTGATCGATACATCCATGGGCCGACTTTGCACATCTTGCACGATGCAACACAAAAGACCTTCAATTCTCAAAGCTCGCCTGTGATCCTTACCCCCAAGCACCCCTGAATCAGGGGCCAGACATACAGCGCCAGCACCTGAAAGCCTCCCTACGTTACGCAAGCAAACTCACAAAACAGGCATGCATTGGCAAGACGAAATGGCTTAAGGATAGAATAGCTGAAGCGAAGCAGCTCTCGATCCAAGCCGCAAAAGTAATGGGTCAGGCGCATTCCATTCCATGATAACACAAGCCCAGGCCAGTGTCGACCAAGCGCTTCGCCAGAAACACCAAGCACATCTACAGTCTACCTTCGAGGCCTCATTCGTGCGCACACCACCCCCATACACCCACCAGCCGAAATCAACACCGACCCAAACAGCACCAGAGAACTCCGCAAGGCCCACGGGCACACCTACATTCGTAAGGCGGCCCAGACGGACTTCTTGCCGAGGCGTAGTGGAGAGTGGCGAGGCATCTCACAAGGAGGAGGATTGCCTCACAGCGATAGTCGTCGAGATTTTCCCTTGCAAGGGCTCCTCACAAACCCTGCTGGCTTCCGATGTTTGCCAAGATCGTCAAGTTTTTTCGTTTGCAGCAAGGACTTGAGCATAGGTGGAGAGACACTCACTGCGGGTTCAGAACGGCTGGGTCAACCTTACAGCCTTACAGCCCAGTCACACCATGTTGAGGGTACTGCACCTTGGACCCTCATTTACAGCATCTACACCTCTCCACAGTTTCGGGCTTCAGCACCCGGTGCACACACCAGCGCCCCAGCCACAGCACATGCAGCATCCGACGAGGCTGTCCACACTGCATCCACGGACAACAGCTCAAGTTCTTCGGGCAAGTACGTAGACACCACCCCAAACAGATCGAACGAAACTCTGACACATCTCTCGTATCGCGGAGGTACATAGAACAAGTGTTTGATGGACTGAACAGCACTGGCTTTGAATCCTCACAGCCCCCTGATTCAAGCCCCTTGTTAGCCAGATCCATCACCAAAGAGCTGGCTCCTGGGCTGTGGCAGAGAGGGTGCATGCTCAGATCCACTGCGCTTGGGCAAGGTGCCGCCGATCGCCATCCACAAACTCGGTCTCGACCGGGAGGGGGACAGGCCGGTCCGTTAGGTCCATTCCAAGAGTTTTCAAGGGTCCATGTACCTATATAGTATCTACTTGGCCCCTAAAAGCTACCATATTATGGGAACCCCTTGAAGGCCCAAGTATCCAGGTACATGGACCCTTTGGGGAGAGTTCCCAAGAGATCACTAGCCAGGCGACCTGGTTACATTCGATCCGAGCCGTGCTCGCCACCCATAGTCCATGCAGGCCAACAGGGAAAGGGATCCTATGGCGCCGCGTAACCTTACATTCAACATGCAAGGGCCTGTGCGCACATGTCCTGGTCAGACCTGGCATTTCTTACAGTTTTTTCGCTACACTGGAGGAGTAAGTATCGTTTTTTCAGCTACCACATGTACTTCTGCAGGACCCGAAGTGCAGGGTTCGGAAAGCAGGCGCGCGGTAAGCTCGTCAGAGGTTTTTGAGTCACACCACATGCACGCGACATGTACTACACTTTTACTACACAACTGCTTGAGCATCGAGTTGTCGAAAAGGCATCATGATGCAGCTGGTAGCTCCAAGACTTGTGGGTGAAGTGCCCAGCAATCCCCTAAACCTTAAACCCTAAACCTTAAACCCTAAACCTAAAACCCTAAACCCTGGCCCTGAACCCTAAACCCGCTTCTTGCCAGGACCTCTGCGCGCCGCGACGGGCGACCGCCCCGGCCCTCGGGCCGCTGGATCAGCAAGATGCTTTTTTAGGGAAGGGTCTGCTGAGTTGAAGAAATGGTCCACTGCTAAGCTGGAAAACCCCATTAAAAAGTATTGTCTTCGTGTTCTCCTTTATGACCCCCTTTTTCCCCTATTATCTTCTTTCTTTCGCTAATTCACAGATCACGCGTTCATTTCATTCACTTGTATCTGTTGAGATTAGTTGAAAGAAGATAATAGTGTTTAAGGGGCGCATAAAAAGAGAATACAAAGAGCGCCCCATTAAAAGCCTGAATTTTAATGATAAAATCATGCGTCCTTCGTCCTTATATTTTATTTTAAAATTATACAGTCTTTTAGTATTCTTATTATCCCGGGCGTACAGTATATTTATTATTGCCCGGGTGAACAGAAGATTATTAATACTAATATTACGGGCCCAATAGTAATAGAATGTTGGCCCGTGAATACAATAAAACATTCCCACGGCAAGGACAGATGCTGCTCCGTTTAGCATTTTGCAGTCAGATGAAGATGATGATGAGACAGATGAAGTCAGGCACTCCACGAGTCGATGCAGTGCCCGCAGCGGCAGCTGCGGCGGCAGCAGCAGCAGGGTGAAACGTTTTCCATAAACACGGTTTTGGACCGCGGCTGCGTCCCAAAGCACGGATGGCAGCCGGCGAAGCAGCGGGATGGTAATGGGTCTCAAGGACTCTGATTCAGGTGGTTCTGGATCCTACACCCTAAACTTCCTAAACCCTAAACCCTAAACCCTAAGAGGCAATATTCCTGCAAGAGCCCCAAGCTGTGGACATCCGGTCGTCCCAGTGAAGAAAGACTCCTCAACAGAGGCTTGACCCAGGGAGCACACGAGTCAAAGCAGTTCCAGAATCACGAGTCAAGGCAGTGCTGCCTCTGCAGTTCCCAAAGGGATGTAAATAGTGACAGGTTGGGATGTTCCCCCTTATATAAACAGTCCTTAATAGGGACTATAGTACCCCTATTACAATCCCTATTAAGGACTCTTAGCATAAGGGGGAACATCCCAAGTGACAGTCTCCTGCTGTGCTGATGCTTGGCAGCACGGGAGATGAAGTTGAAATCCGAAATAATGTACAAAGCCTGCTTCCGCGGCAATCAGTTAGGACTGATGGCGCGGACACATCAGCCGACATGGATGCTGGTTATTTGCCTCTGTCGAAAGCAACGCTACCAGCTGGATTCCCCCCAACAAGAAAGGCTGCCTGGCAGTTCCTCCGTTTATCTCCGCAGGGGGCTCCTGTGTCCTGAGCACATATCTGTAGCTGCAGGACTTCTGGGATCCTGTCACCTTCATGCCACCTGAGAGCCGGCGCCTCATCCCCCTTGCAAGGGTGATGAAGGATACGATGAGGAGGAGAAGGAGGATGAGAGTGATGAAACATCGTCATTCAGCTCTCTACAATGCCCGTTTTAGGCCGGCTGGCAGTTGACAGCAAGACCCTATGAGGCAGAGTTGGCATTCAGGAGGCTGTTCCTAACTTAGGGTCCCTTTATGGGGGGGTTCCTTCTATCACTATCTGAGAAGCGCCTATGAACCCCTCTGAGCCATCGCTTTTTCCGAGGCCGGGAGCGCGAGAAAGTGGACGACCTGCTGAAAGAGGAGGCGCCCTCACATGGGGGCTTGTTCGAAGGATGCCCCTTCTCGGGGTCCTGATATAGGATGTCCCCCCCCCCCTCCCCCCTCCGGCCAAAGACCGGATCTTAAACCCTGAGCCCTGAACCCTAAACCCTACACCCGACGTTTAAGCACCCGGCAGGAGAAGGAGACCGAAGACTATCTGGGCGCCATGACGCCCTCCTTCAGCCTTTCGGCGCCGGAGGCGAGAAATGAAGAGGTTTGAACGGGGGGTTGTTTTGGAGTATAGTGGTTGATAGTCGTATAATGGTAGTATGTAGTTTCATAGTGGAATAAATAGTCATATGGGGGTTTCCGAAATTAGGGGTACCCTGTTTGGGGTCCTCATTGTAAGGGAATCCTACTATTTCGGGGGGGGTCTATATTAGGAGTCCCTTATTTTCGTAAAACACCATCTAATGGTGAATAGTCGTATAGTCGTATGATTTCGTATATTTTAGTATCATGGTGTAGTAAGGAATTCCTCCAGCTGAAAGGCCAAGGACGAGGACATAGAGACAGGCCACGAGCGGGAGGCGCCGGGCGCTGCACCCTGGAGGAGAGCCTATCCCGCTTTGGCTGTTTTTGGGGGGCATGTGACATGTGGGGTACCTTCCTAGGGTCCTTTTTTAAAGGGGATTCTCTACTATATTTGGGGGGTAAGAAGGGGTGCCCCTATTATAGGAAGCCCCCCCCCCCCCCCCCTGTGGTTTGGGCAGTAGGACACCTGAGCTCTCGGGTCAGGATCTTCCGCAACATGACTTTGGCCACGTGCTTCTTCTGGATCTGCGCCGGGGTGAGCGGCTCACAGCTGTCAAGACAGAGCAAGATGAAGAGTGATAACGGTGCTCGCTGCTAGCTGTGTACAGGCATGGGAGTTCATGGCCGAGCTGCTCCCAGAACTCATTGACATGGGCTTGGCATTTGAGGCAAGGGTTTAGGGTTTAGGGTTTAGGGTTTGGGGTTTGGGGTTTGGGGTTTAGGGTTTAGGGTTCAGGGCTCAGGGTTTAGGGTTATGGGGGTGGGAGAGCTCCAGCGATGGACGCCTGTCAGAAGCTGGTCTGTTGTCTTGGGAGGATGAGATCGAAGCCCAGACAAAGCATTCCACACAGCGCCACGACGGCAGCAAATCCCTGCAAGGCTGCATACACCTGGAAGATTTTTCTGTTCTGCAATATCAGGAAGATGCACCAAGATATTGGACCCAGGTTGAATCTGGAACACGTTCGCCTTCAGCCTGTGGATGCGATAGGTGCGATGTGGGAAGGGATCGTAATGTGCGCGAGTGTAATCCTTCCGGACATTTCCTGACCAGCCTTTGCGGGGGAGCACAGAGCCTCTCTGATGGCTCTACGCTGGACGCCCAGAGACTCTTCCACAAAGCTTCGTGCTGTACCGGCTAAGCTTGACAGCAGCTACTGGAAGTATAGGATCGGCTTCAAGAATGAAGTTCCTAAGAATACAATATTAATACTAAAGGCCCATCCACGGACACACGCTTCTTTCAATCTCATGAAATCCTATCCTTTGGTTCACTAGTTTTAATAGGACCGCAGGCTTGGGGCTTATGCACTATTCACCCTTGGGAGCGTTTCCTTGGGCTTCTTCCTCACTCATAGAATTCGTATTATTATAAGCGTATTAACGTACACCATCAATGCTAATACTAATGTTAAGGGAACACGCATAAAACCCAGACCACGTTCCTTTCACTCCTGTCTTTGTTCCCTTATAATTATAGTCCTTCACGTCTTATTACGAAGTGAAACCATTACTTGTATTTATAAGGGCGTGAGTGAAATGAACAGACGCATGAAATACAACTAAGGGGCGAACGAAGCACGAACTCCCAACCTTTCCAGACGGCCTAATTGTTCACTCCCTGAGGCACTGCTGTCAAGTCCGCCCACTACGAGCAGGTCAACATTACGTGGCCTTATCCTGGCATTAGGCGGGACAAACATGGAGAAACCGGCAGTGCAATTCGCAGTGCATTTGGAGTGGAGATTCGGCTTCAGGCCGACGGGATTGTCTTGTGATGCACATGGGCGGCATTTGCTCGCTGCGAGCTTATCGGCTTGAAGCAGAGAGCGATCACAGACACCTGATCGCTGCAATCAGCAGGTCACGGATGGCCTGTCTGCGTTCTTGGCTGCAGTGGAAGAGGCAGGTTTGGAGCAAACTTTGTGCGCTGTGTGAAGACAACATTGCAGGCTCCAGCTGCCGACGATGGCATGAGGCGTACGGAAGCTTTCGCTAGATGTTGCACTTTGCTCGGACGACTGGGTTTGAGAAGGCTGCGGCATTCTAGGCCGGCGATCCGCACGGAGTTCAAGCAGGTGGATCACAGTGCAGGCACTGATTTTCCATGCCGATGGGGTTGTCCTTCTGATGCTCAGATCGACTCCTGCGCGGCGCTCCTGGGACAGCGGCTCCAGGACAACGTGCTGGGCCGGGTCGGGCTTGTGCTCGTTGAATGCAGCTTAGGGCCCAAAAAGGCCCACAGTTGCAGTTCCCTAAGAAGCCCTGAATATCTAAGGGGTTCCTTTTAAGGGCCCATACTAAGGGACCATGAAACAATCCCAAGAAGTTTCCTGACTGCAAAGAACTCCATAGTAGAGCTCTAAAGCCCAGGCGAGAATTCTTCCCAACTCCGTACCGATATATACCGATATACTCCCCTCACAGAGATGATTTTCGTGCGCATAAAATCAGACATGATTTTCATGATGTTTGTGCGCACAGAAATCATGTAGTGCCCAACTCTTGCCATACTTGCTGGATTCCTGAGATTTCTCGAAAGCAGCAGGACACAGCTTTGTCCTGCGCAGACAACTCGACCGCGAGCTGCGAGGCTAGACTATGTCGTTTTGGAGCCCTTGCTAGGCATGCGTCACCTTGCGCAATATGGTGCAATCACAGTACATGGTGCATTGGTCAGCCATCGCATGAACGCATCAAGAAGTGAGCGAGCATGGCACAGAGCTCACCTAGGTGAAGGGCCAGGCATCCAAAACCCCTGATTTCCTATTCAAGCGTGGTTGAACTTCAGCGAGGGAGCAAAATAAGCCACGGCTTGGTTGGGAGCCGCATTAGCCAATTCCAACAGCCGGAGCAGCTGGAGAAGAAGGTTCCTTTGTGCGAAGGACTTGCGAAGCCGGCAGAGAACTTCACTGCGCAACTCTTTACGAACAATGCCGAATGTACAACATGTGTCCTACACAGGCCCACGCGCACACTGCATGCGCACTGAGCGGTGAAGCAAACGATCTACGCATATCGAGTTTGCAGGCCATGGTGCTGCATCAGCAGGGCCAGCGGGTGGCAGCGTGCCACCTTTCAGGTCGCGGAGGCTGCATGACTTCAGACAGAAGCAGCCCCGGAAGCCATTCCAAAAAACGCAGAATCTGGCCATGGAAATAGGCAATGGAGTCGTGTGGCTGAGGCAAGTGTAGTAAGTGTGGTTGCGCAGTCTCCAGGTGGTCTCAGCCTGTCGGTGGCGTCCTCGTGGCTTTCGGGCATGCCCATGGCCTCAGCCAGGACTTTGACTACATGGGGGGGTTTTCCGCAAAATAGGGGTACCTTGTTGGGGTTACGGGGATCCTATTGTTATTTCTGTGACGTTTTGTGAAGTCAAAATTGCAAGTTCTGCTCGTAGCAGTGATGACGTTTCGATGTGTCCCATTGACGTTATTCCCCATAGCAGATGGCAGCCGCGTCGCATCATGCCCCCAGTTCCAACTTGGCCTGCTTGTCCTCGGGGATCCATCTGTTCGCTTCATGCCCAGGCGTTCGGACCGCAAGTCCGAGCAGGCGTGTGGGTCTCTAGGTTTCGGGGTGCAAAACGGCACTGTTGCCCATGGTCAGGCCAAGCTCGGCGGCCGAATTTCTAGCGTTGTGAGGGATGTGGGTTGTTTAATTTTAATCCTGCGCGACGCGCCTCGGCCGGGGCCCCGCACAGCCGCGAGGTTGCTGTCGACCATATGTCCCTGGTCCTGTTGCGCCGTCCGCTCCCGCACAGCTATCGCCTACAAGGGGTACCCATTACGGGCAAAGTCCCAAACAAAGGGGAGGGGAGAACCTGCTTTGTGCTACCCATACACCCACCGGAGTTGGGGTGACCCAGCCTTGGGGCTGCTCTCCGCTTCCGAATAAAGATACTAAAGCTCGACATCTTGCAAGTGGCGGCATGCCCTAACCGGAACTTCATCTTCACAGATACTCAAGCGCGTTGGGGGGGGGGGAAGGATTGAAAGGCGGCGGGCTCGACAGGTGCAAAAGCAGCGTAGCCACTGACCTCACCTGCCCTCAGCCAACCATTGTTGCCCTCGAAAAAGAGGCGGGGGAGGTTCATCTTTGCTGGAGTGAGAGTCCGTACGCACCAGCAGCATAGGGTGGGGTCGGATTGAACGGCCACTGTTGACAGCAGGAAGACTGGCACCAGGTTTGAGGTTTAGGCCTCCCAAATTTCGTCTGGTGTCGTGCACTGCCTGGGGTGTTTCTGGGAAACCTCTGATCTGATGCAATCTAGTGACTTTTCAAGCGCATCTGTTTGGGGCGTGGCTGCCCGTATGCTGCGGCAAGTGTGGAGGGAGGTTATCATTACGGGCACTTCGTCACCAGCATCCTGCAAGGCAAAGGGATCTCAAGACTTGGCATGTCTCATGCGGGTTCTTGCGAAATGCTCACCCGCAAGCCGTTGTTGCGGCCTAACATTTTTCTCAGCTGTGTGAGGGAGGGCCGGTACAAGTAGTGCGTCTGGTGGTGCCAGAGGCAGTGTTGAAACTCACAAAAGCGGCTTTTGTGCGAAGGGCATTTTCTAGCGAGGTCACACGAGGTCAACCGAAAGTGGCGGACTCAAATCCCCCCTCGCCCTCGCGCTCTCCCTCTCCCTCTCCGCCTCCGTCCCTCTCTCCCTCTCTCTCTCTCTCGCTCTCTGTCTCTCTCTCTCCCTCTCTCTCTCTCTCTCTCGCTCCTCCCTCGCTATCTGGCGGCGAGCCCTCCAGAAATGAAAAGATTCCGTTTAAACATCCCTGGGATTAACGTCCCGATGCGACCTCAGACCTCCGTTTCTGGTGACCCGACCCGACCCGACCGCAATGTCCAGCATGAAATTGTACGAACAAACCCAGTGTTCCAAGTCTGAGGACGAAGGGTCTTCACTCGAGAAGTAAGTTTATGTTCGATTTTAAGTTGGGCTTCTTGGCGATACTTAGTCTTGACTCCAGCCGGTCGTTCCAATTCTGTCCTGAACCTTAAACTACAAATCCTGGCCAGGCCCAGTTCCTCATGGTGGATCCGATCTGCCAAGAAGCCCAGTAACACCTGCACGGTGGCTACTTAGGACAGTTTCTCAGGAGCATATCCAGCTTCACACACCGCTTCATAACCCGGACGAGTAGCATGTGCCGTAACTGGGGGGGGGGGGGGGGCCCAGGCAGCTCAGACTCGCTTGGTGCCGGCTGCACCTCCGTCCATCTGCCAAGTGTTCTGCCAGGATAGCCATCAACTTGCAGAAATGGCAACCTAGGACCTAGGATGAATAGACCCACACCTTCCGGCTTCTTGTGATTCCACAAAAGACCCAACTCTGGTACAGTTGTACTTTGTGAGCTTGTGGTTTCCCGCCAGGTGGGGACATCCAAATGGCGGCTGGCGCGCCTTCAACGGGGGACGCAAGGTATCGGTAGTAGTTTCAAGGAGCAATTCTGCGGGACCGGCATGTGCCTCGAGGTGATGACTTGATTCCCCTGGATGTAACCGATGACAAGGACTCCAGAGTCGGGTTTAGGGTTTAGGGTTTAGGGTTTAGGGTTTAGGGTTTAGGGTTTAGGGTTTACGAGCACGGGCTCTGGTGACTGAAGTCCTTGGAAGCCTACCAGGATGCAGAGCGTCACCGTCCCAAAGCCATGCGCCTGATGACGGAACGGTGCGCAACTGCTTTGTCGGGTGTAGACATCCGACACGCAGCCGACGCGTGAGGTACTTGGGAGTGCTCCGGGACGACAAAACGCTGGAGCTGCTGGACTTGGACAACGGCGCCTCAACTCAAGCCATGCAGAAAGCTGCTCGCTCGCTCGGAACTGCAGAGCCCGTCAGTCGAAAAGTGCCGAAAGGTGGAGCAACATCTGCAAAGCTCACGCTTCAGACGAAAACGTGCGGAAGCTCAGCGCTCCCACCTAGCCTCGTACTTTGCAGCTTGCACCTGGTATAGAGCTGGCCCAGTCCGGCTTTCAAAGCCTTGCAGGCATCTGGAGAGCTTCTGTGCCAGCAGCGATCACATGTACCTGCTTGGGTCCGGCTCACACCCATCCCTGTGCTCGCCTTAAGAGGAATTGTGTCGAATTCGTATGTTAAGTGCACGCTTACATCGGGTATTTTCTGTCCGGGACTTGCAGCTTGTGAGGTTGCGAGTTCCGCTCCGGGCGGCCTTCGCTGGGTGAGTGGCCGTAGGCAGCCGCAGTTTCCAGTCCAGCAACACGGCCTCTGCGTCTCGAATGTCCTTAGTCTTCAGCTCCAAAAGAAAATCTAGACAAAAGCAAAAGCAAAAAGTAAAACTAAACCAAACTAAAACAGCTAAAGGTCAAGTGACCACAGGGTCAAAGGTTCGATCGCGATCTCCAGATTTTAGCAGGCAAGCACCCGCTGCGCGAAGACTGGAGCGCGTCGACAAGCCTGGAGTCGAGAGAAAAGAATGAGAAGGCTTGCAAGTGCAACTTGCCAAACGTGCCGAGGGCAACAATTTGAGCACCTTGGGCCGATCCTTGTGTTCTGTTCGGGTGCGGTGCACGTTGCGTCTCAAGCCAGATTGTGATCCCTGTACTAGAGAACTTTCACCGACTGTAACCGCTAGGCTTCTCCTGGAAGCCATGCTTGCCAACAGGATCCTGTTCCTGTGTCTGCTCCAGACAGGGGCCGTCGCTGCGTCGTCCGCAGTCGGCGCTGCCTGTCATGGAGCTGCTTGCCCCTCGGCCGCTGCTTCCACCGTGTTGCTTCAGCGCAAAAAGGAGAAGGAGCTGGTGACAAAAGTCGAGCTGGACAGTGGGGCAAGCACAGGGAAGCGGCGCCAGGGTCGCAGGTCGAGGCGCAAGACGGGTGCCCTTCCTGCGTCCGCGGCGGCGTGGGTTGCAACGACCTTCTCAGATTGCGTTCTGTGCCCGGCCGGGTCGATGCAAATCCGAACCGTACAGTGCCTTCGCATCTTTGACGGCGCCGCAGAGGGAGAGAATCTCTGTGCCGGTTACCCCAAGCCTCCCTCCACCAAAGCTTGTGATTGTGCCGAGCTGCCGTGTAATGGCAATCTCACGCACATGTGCTTGGAGCCTTCCGGCTGCCCCGTTGATTCAGACCTGGACGTCGACTTCATGGACCTGGGCTGCTTTCAGCGCGTCCCGGGCCATGAGGCCCCTGGTGCCATCGGTGATGCATATGACTATGGCTGCATGAACTATTCTGGGGCTGTTCCTTGCAAGAGCGGCCTGCCCTTCTATTCCATGAGGTCCAACAGCATGACGCCAAGCTTGTGTTACGAGTTCTGCACAGGCAAAGGCTTGGACATCTTCGCTTTGGTCGCCGGAGTGGAGTGCCGCTGCGGTGCTTCTGCGGTAAACCAGAATGCACGCGCACACCAGGTCGACTCTCGCCATTTGGACTTCAATCCATCGGTGCTCAGTCTGCATACTGACGACATGGGCCTATGCCCGCTTCGCGTTTTTCGGTATGCTGGCCACTATGAGGAGGGAGGTGTGCCTTATGGTCTGACCAACCTCCTCGAGTCCGACGCACAGTACTTGCGTAGCATCTTCTCAGGGCACCTGGTCGAACATCTCGAGGACGCCCCAGAAGGCTACAAGCTGCCATCAGCAACGCCTGAACCAGGCTTGGCTCAGGCAGATGCAAAGGATGGACAGCTGAAGCAGACCCCTGAGGGCTACAACCGCAACTGCTGGCCCGACAATTGCGGCCCGGGGCGTGGGCCATGGGAGGACCGTGTCACCTCCCCACCGTCTGGAGTGAATGCTAGGTACTACGAGTACGTTGTGATTCCATATTCTTTCGAGCCTGGGACGAACGATGCCCGCAAGCAAGCTTTCCGCGTGGCTGTGAAGCGCTGGCACCGGCAGTCGTGCATCGTCCTTGTGGAGAAGGCTGAAGACTACCAGCACACCCGTCCGTACATCACGGTGGGCGAATACGACTCCGGTAGCTGCTACTTGTCGGGGATGGGTTGGCCAGGCTTCTGGAGCGGCAAACCGCAGCGCAGCCGGATCAATCTCGGCTGGTGCAATGACATGAGCGCGGTCGGAAGCATGATTCACGAAATCGGGCACGCCATCGGAATGAACCATGAGCAGAAGCGTGCAGATGCCGCCCAAGCCTGGAATGGGCATGGCCCTCATTTGATCATGCACTGGGACAACATTGAGGCGAGTTGGAAGAGTCAGTACGAACCGGACTTCAAGTCCTACATTGGCTCCACCAATCAAGGCAGGGCTCTCAGATGCTTAGAACTCCGACTCAGATCCATGATCTAGGTAGGATGCATCCCTGCGTCGCATTTGCCACGTCTCTGTCTGCGCTGCCTGGGCTCGTTGCGTTTTTACACATTTTTACGCTTTGTGCCTGGGCCTGCAGGCGCCGACGATGTCTTCTCAGGCTATGCACCGTACGACTATGGCAGCATCATGCACTATCCTCCAGGAGATGCCTATGATACCGACCCTCCAGAGAACGAGAACCTCATGGGCAACCGCAAGCACCTCACCGCCGGGGACATCGAACAGATTCTGGACGTGTACCAATGCGTGGAGCTGCCAACGTGGACGACACCCACCTCCTGTGACTTTGAGGATGTATGCTTCTGGACAAATCAAGGGGAGATCGATTGGGTAATGCAATCAGGACCGACTCCCAGCAGCAACACAGGGCCTAGCGCAGCCTTTGAGGGGACATTCTACCTTTATGTTGAGGCGAGTGGATCCAACAATCCCTCGAAAACTGCCATCTACGAGAGCCCAGCACTTGATGCCACTCAGAGCTACGACTTGACCTTCAAATATCACATGCTCGGGAGCAGGGTAGGCTCTTTGGCTGTTGAGATTGGAGATACCCATGGAATCTTCCACTCAGTCTGGGCCATGGCTGATACTCAAGGCGATATTTGGCACACGGCATCCCTGACTATCAGTGCTGCTGCTGCTGTTCGATTCGTTGCTGTCACGGGGTCTGGCTGGAGCAGTGACATTGCAATCGATGCACTCCAGATGACATCAAACAGCCCGATACCCACTACTGCCACCACAACAACCACCACTACCACCACAACCACCACCACCACCACCACAACCACCACCACCACCACCACTACCACCACCACCACCACCACTACCACCACCACCACCACCACCACCACCACCACCACCACTACCACCACTACGACCACCACCACCACCACCACTACCACCACCACAACTACCACAGCCACCACAACCACCACGAGCACCACTACGAGGTCAACCACCACGACGCTGGGCTGCCACGATTCCTGGTTGCCGGATTGGACCAGCAGTCCGACTGTTGCCTGCAAGAAGTGGGCGGAAGACTCCACATGGGGCGCGCTGGCAAACGACAAAAGCCTCGCCGACGCATGCCAAGAGTCGTTCGGGCTCACGTCCTGTGCCGAAACCTGCGGATGTGGAGCACCACGGCAGTAATCATGGAGTTTGAAGTTGCTAATGCATGGAGGGAGCTGACGGGAGCTGCATAGGACAGACATTCCCAACTTATCTGCTGCCAGGCACCCTTCAGTGCACCATCCGGATGCGACTTTGAGGGTGGTTTGTGTGGATGGTCCACAGCAGGAACATCGGGAACATGGATTGGACATGTCCATGCAACACCGAGCAATGGCACCGGCCCTAGTCAGGCGCAGAATGGCAGCCGCTATCTCTATGCGGAAGCCAGCGAGCCGGCCCTCCCCGGAGACGTCTTCACTCTGGAGAGCCCACCCTTCGATGGAGCCGGCGTTACGTTTGAATTCAGCTTTTGGTACCACATGTTCGGCCAGGGAATGGGCAGCTTGCAGCTCAAAGGAAAGGCGAATGACACGTGGATGGAGATTTGGAGCGCGCACGGCAATCTCGGTGACATGTGGCTGGAAGCCGACGTCCCAGTTCCAGCTGGCTTCTCCTTTCTCCGATTTGATGCTGCCTTGGGCCCAGACTGGAGAAGCGACATTGCCATTGATTCCATCCATGTCAAAACAACCACCACCACAACCACCACAACCACTACAACCACTACGGCGCTGGGTGGAAGCACGGGCATTGACGCGGTCGACTGCGACTTCGAGGTGGACATGTGCAGCTGGAAAGAGGAAACGACCACAGGGCACATCGGCCTTTGAATAGGAGGGAGCTTTGCAACCTCCTTTACAGCATAAACTTAAAATTGTAAATCGCATGAGATCCGTGCAGTTCCAGCCTCTCGTGGGCTAAGGTGGAGACTGAGATCGGGAACAACTCCGAGCAGCAGCACGGGGCCAGACGGGGCGGAGTCAGGCCGGATTGCAATGCCGACACCAGTCCGGTTTCAAAGGTTTCCATACGCCCAGCGTCGAATCCCAGCACCCGAGAAAGTGTCTTGGCCGTGACAGGCTCCCAGTACGTTTACGCGGAGTCCAGCGGATCAGCTGGAAACCCCAACAAGGAGTTCGTGCTGCAAAGCGGCAGCTTCTCTCCGGGGCCGCATGATCGCGCGCTCTACTTCGCGTGCAGCTGCTTGGCACATGTCCAGAGACATGACTCCTAGCAGGTTTTGCTTCGGAGTGCGCCCATCAAGCGATGTGCAAGATAAATTGCTTAAGTCCAGGCTGCTGCTTACTCAGGCATGTACGGCAGCAACATGGGCAGCCTTACGCTGGAGTTTCAAGGCACAGATGGCTGGACGAAGATTTGGGAGCTCTCAGGAGTGCGAGATCATCTTGTTCAACGATGTTCAACATCTTCAGTACACCCCCCCAGGAAGTTGCACGATAAGTTGTGAACTGATGAGAACAGAGAAATCATGACCTACCCAAACTGCAGGTGCGGGGGGGGGGGGCTGTATGACGCATGTCCAGGAGATCAGGGAGAGGGCTGGTCCTCTGTGGCGGTCACCGTCCCGGGCCAGGCGACTGCCTTGCGCTTCGTCGGCCTGACAGGCGTTCGTGGCAAGAGACGTCTTGAATGTCTTGAAGTCATGGATGCATCCTCATAGATCCTCATGGTGTGTGTGTGTGTGTGCACGGAGGCAACGGCTGGAAGAGCGACATTGCTGTGGACTCCATCGTGGCATCTGAGACGGCCCCAACAACACCACCACCCATGGCTGCTGAACAGGCGGCCGCAAGTAGCGACATGGAGGTTAAGCTCTGGTAGGACGCTACTGGTAGCTGTTTCGCAGAGTCCTGTGCAGCCAGCGCGAGTTGTGGAACATCGTAGATTCTCGTAGATGTTGACTGCTCGAAGGCACTCGCCTGCGATTTCGAGTCCAACTTCTGCGAGTGGTCGCAGCAGGGCCAAAAGCAGTGGAGTCGAAAGAGCGGAACAACACCGAGCAGAAACACTGGCCCTTCACAGAACCACGACGGGAAATATGCCTTCACGGAAGCGAGCGGCTCAAACAAGAACAAGGAGTTCATTTTGGAGTCGCCCATCTTCGGCATGACTGCAGGCATCAAGCTGTCCTTCTGGTACCACATGCTAGGAAGCAAGATGGGCGATTTGAAGGTGGAGGGTCTGGGATCAGCGGGCTCATGGAGTTCGCTCTTCCTGGTGTCTGGCGCCCAGGGGGATGTCTGGCACAACGCGGAAGTGGCAATCCCAGGCGATGTCCACCAGCTGCGCATCATTGGTGTCACTGGCAACGGCTGGGCCAGCGACATGGCTGTGGATGACATCACGGTCGTCCCGGCTTGAGGTGGCAACATCCATGTGAGAAGCACGGCTTCCCGCAAGCGAGCATGGGGGGGCCTGTGGATGACAGCACAGTCGTCCCCGCTTGAGGTGGCGACATCTATTCAAGAAGCACGGCTTCCCGTGAACGAGCACGGGGGGCCTGTGGATGAAAGCACGGTCGCCCCGCTTGATGTACTGTAGTAATGCTCAGGGGGGAAAGAAGGAATGTTTGTGCAAACTGCTATTATTAGGGCTCACCACATCTCCAACCTGTGCTGACGGTTGATTTCCGATGCCGGCTGTGCCCAGTCGCCACACCTGAGGCTCTAGCCTAGTCAAGACATCCAGATTGCAAAGTGGTAGCCCTTGTGTCGCCTTCAGAACATCTCAGAACGCTAGAGACATGTGACAGGCCTGAGCATGTTCTCTGTCCCGAGTGAGACTCAGATCTTACATGTTAGGCACATCTCAGAGACCAAAAACCCATATGGGGGACTCATGGGCTCAAAACCCGCAGTCACCAGCCGCACCTAAAAGTTCAGAACAGTCACTGCAAAACACATTGGATCGTAAGATCGGAAGGATGCATGGCAAACTTACGCCATGGGCCCTTGGCAAGCTTCCAGTCAACATCCCGGACCCAGCCTCGCGGGGCATATCTCTGCAGCAGGTGCAGGAGCTCTCCGAGTTTATACAGCGGTTATGCAAGACAGGCCTCTTGCAGGGACATCGCGACAATGCCTCCGATTGGCTGCACTGGGAGGACATCTTGATGGAAGACATAGCCAGTTTCATCTTGAAACCTGCCATCCGATACCTGGCAGCGGACATCAGCAAAGATGATGTTCATCATGACCTGGCGCCCGAGTACGCGTGGAGCTGGGTTGAGATCGTGGCAAACGGGCCGCAGGATCCCAAGGTTTTCGTGTCCTTCAGCTTGCACAGCGGATTCCGCGACTTCATGGGTAGCGTGCATCATCTAGCCGATGATCAGGGCATGACCATCCGGGACAACATGTGGATTGGCATGTTTGCTCGGGAGGACAGTGCCCCAGTGCATGTCTTCGACCTACTGAATTCGCCTGTCTTCAGTGCATTTGGGAAGTCCGAGGCCACAGCCCTTTTTCTGGATGAGCATGCCAGCATCCTTGAGAGAAGTTGGAGCATCTTCGAGATGGCAATCATTACCGACACGGCAACAAGCCGCCGGCGATGGAAGCTAAAAGAAGAGCTTGCACGAGAAGAAGGATGCAGCATCTTCAGCGTCAATGAAGAGAAGGTGCTACAAATAGAGAAGGAGCGTTTCGTGGAATACAGAGCGCCAAGCTCGGACGACATCTTCCAGTCGGAGAACTGTCGGTTAGACTGGCAGGTCAGGTCAGAGCTGGCCGGAGGGGGCGATCCCTTCTCAGTTCCATGGGAAGAGGTGCGAGAGCGGATTCGACTTATGAGGCAAGGGGGAGGCATTGACACCAAGCCGCTGCTGCTTTGCAGGGGCCTTAGTCATGTTGCGAGTAGCTCAACAACGCGATAAACTTAACAGATTTAGCTTCACAAAATCTTACGCAACACAATATATAAACTCAAAGGTTAAGCTTCAGATTCTTGCATCTTCACCTGTTTGCAGATACTGAGGTACTCCAGACGGTTTGGTGGGCACCAGGCGTGCAACTTCGGTTCCCGTCCTGCATGCCCTCTTGCATTCGTTCTGCTGCAGCAAAACGGATGCCGCCAGCAAGGCCGAAAGACGGCTAGTCATGAATTACATTGCAAACTGCTACTGCGAAGAGAACAGAAGCAGCGCACACTTGCTGGATGGAATTCGCACTGACGGCGATGTGTACGAACTGGAGAATGTGGAGACAGTGTCGGAAGTGCGGTCAGGACCTCATGATGTCATGGAGAGCGCATGCAGTAACAGTGGCGAAATTTTCAAGGCGACTGGACGGTTCTCCCGAGTACCGTCACGAGCACAGTGCCAGCCTCATTCGTGGACAACTGCGAGGGCGCAAAACTTTGCATACTAGTGGGGAAGTTGTGCAAGCTAGTGGCAGCTTTGCCTGAGCTTAGTCTGCTGAGCAGTAGGACAGGTGGTTGTGGCCTCGACACCTAACCCTGATTTATTAATCCTGGAGATCGTGCAGGTCTGCACTGCAGTACAGAGGTTGTACTGCCATGTACGCTTGAGGGGTGGATGTCGTCCTCCCCGACCTCCCCCAAGCTCCAGGGCACTGCGGGGCAGGTCGACAGGGGCAAGTGGGGCAACGGGGCCAGCGTGGCAAGTGGCAGAAATCGCTTAGGAAGTGGGGCAATATCGTTTCCGCTAGGGGACCAGAGCATGTGGGGCAAGTGGCAGAATACAGCTAGCGGCCCGCATTTGAACGCCCACGGGAATGTTGGGCCAACATTCATGCTTGAGGGCTGGATGTTGCGTTGCGTCGCAACTTGAGATGCCAGAAGAGCTTGTGCTTCTTGAGGTCTTGTCACCAGCAATGAGCACACTGCGGTCAAGTTCAAAATCCTGGACCACAGCATACGACAGGCACTGGTTTAACAGCCTAGGCCAATAAAATGTGGCTTGCCTCAGAGCTCTTGAACTTCAACGGACTCGAATCAATGCGTCCGATGCGCAGGAATGCAGAAAAGCTCTTGAAGCCAGTGCCCCGGAGGGCAGCCAAGTCTTTAGCATGGGGCGCCTACCCTCTGTGCATGGGATCACCCTCCCAAGACATCGTCAAGAGACCCCGTGTCATCCCAGACCCTAGATGCGCCTTAGAAGACTCTCGGATCCAGGCTCGTGGAGTCAAGGATAACTTTGACAATTGGAACAACTTCTTCGATTTAAAGCGAGCCTGGACCTCAGGGGAGGGGAGGGCAGCCGAAGTGACGCCCTCTTCCAGCTTGTTCCGGCGCTGATCCATGAGTTGCTCGTAGTCCTTCGCAGCATGTACTTCCGATCACAAAAAGAGCGTAGAAAGGAAGTGAGGAAGCAGACGGCGGAGGTCAAATTTCTGCAAACCTCACCTAAGCGGCCAGCTACTTCATTTGTGGGCCCTACCTTCATACATGCCATGGAGGAACCACAGAGCTCGCGAGTCCCAAATATGTGTTGAAGGCAGCATGTTTGGTTATGGTTTCGTGAAGCAGCGGCCCAGCTATTCATGTCCACACTGGCTTCTGCAAGCCAGCTTCGGGTGTGGAAGTGCTTGCCGTGGTTCGCAGCTGATGCTGGGCATGCTGACTTACTGTTGTGCTGAGCCGAGGTTTGCAATGTCATGCCACCTGAGCATCGTGCACTCACTTTGTCTTCCAGCTGCAATGGCATCATGCACATACATGCAGTGCCGAGGGGATGCCAGAAATCAGGGCTGTTTATGCCATGCGCACCTCCTACTCGTAGCCTCGAATGTACAAGCAGCCAGCGTTTGGAGCTTGGGGGGGGGGGGGTAGTACAGAGGGTGGTACGGTAGTAGGGGAACCCATGATAAAATAACTCTGACAGCCGGGTTCTTTGCGTAGAGAGCTTGTCGGCATAAAGGTCGTAGCCAGGTCTGCACAACTTCCGGCGTCATGTTTCCAGAGGCAGCAGCTGCATTGATTGTGAGTGAGGTCCCAACTTCGGATTCTTGCCAACATGCTCCGCCGGAAGCTTAGCAAAGTCTGGCTATTGCTGCAAAGAAGTATCTGACGTCTGATCTCCCGCATGTTTTTGTTCAACGTGTCCTGGACTTGGTACTTCAGGCAGACGCTTGGTGGAATTCGGAGGACTGCCTGCATGGAACAAGGCAAGCTCCAGAGACCTCTGGAACAGAGACAAGGCGCCACAGTTGCCCGTGAACTTGATGGGTCCTCATTGGAGTCTTGACGCATGAACCCCCAAATGGGTTTCAGGGACAGAGATCGTGGAGTGTTCAGGTGGGGCAGTTGGGGGCCGGAGGGTGTGATGATCCTGATGAAGCTTATGTCGCTGACTCAAGGGGGCGTTCACCGGTGGTTGGGGCGTGACGGGCCAGGCACAAGCGTATCCCTTCCCCCTCAAATCCCTCACAGATACGGCATGCTAGAACTGTACTTGCAGAAGTTCCTCTCACCGGCTTGAAAGCACGGCAGCAGCCGCAGAGGCCTCCAGAACGCACGCAGCCAGCCGAAAGCGTTTGTTCTGTTGGAACAGCACCCCGGCTCACCGTCCGCGCCGCTTGAAACACTGGACACCTTCACAGGCTGGCTGTTAGCCGATCAGCCACCCCATAACGAGGAAGCTGGTACGAGCCCCCGAATAAAGAAGTGGTGGGCCGTTGTGATGGCAGTCCCAGCTGTGCTAATGACAGGGTACAACATCGTAATCATGATTACGGCTTCGCTATCCGCGAAATCCATGTATGAAATCGAGTCGGGGACACTATCGGGCACCCCCACTAGACCATACTAGACCCCAGCAGCCAGCAGCCCGCACCTGAGAGGAGCTTCACGTCCTGCGAGACATCCTGCCTGTCAACAGCTCCTTCTCTGAGCGCCAAACTTCGCAATTCGGGGTGAGTCGATGGTTGTTGGCGAGTCGTCCGTCCGTAGAATTCAATCTGAACTTGCCACTGTAGGTGCTTTCAAACGCAGCGCCAGCTGCCGGACACCTACGTCATATGTCCCGAGGACCCCTGAGACAATCAGGCGCCAGGTGATGAACGGAAAATCTTGCTTGAAGCTGCAGGACGTGAAGTTGGTGGCCCTGTTCAGCGCCATAGAAAGACATGCAGAGGTTCCCGCACCAGAGCGTTGATGTTTCAGACTTCTTGCCTTTGCTGCTTGAAGGCACACCTTCTACCGGAGAAGACCACTTACTATGTGGATGCTTTGTGTAGAAGGAGCCGTCGTTGCCACCGAATGGTTTCCGGACAGAGTGATCCGCAGTGTTCTCATCACCTTGGCAGCAAGAGGCGTGGCGAGCTGGAGAAGTCAGCCAATGAATCCGCAGAAAAGACTCAGCGGCTTCTGTCAAATACTGGCAGAGGCGTTCTGTCCGGAACCCTAGCAAGAGCCAAGCGCATGCCAAGAGCTGGGCAAGACAGCCAATTGCACGTTGCTTTGGCGGCCCCTGGTGAAGTCCCGAACCCCCTACACTGACCTTGTAAGGCTTATTCTGGACCAGCCGACAAGCCTCACCTGGCGGCACAACGTTGCCAGCTTGCTTCTTCCCCAGCTGAGTTGGAGAGCCCTGCACAGATGGTTAAGAAGAAGCACTCAAAGCATGTCAACGGTTAGTAGCTGCAGATCCGAGGTGGTGTTTGTATGAGCTGTTCTTTGCGGACAGACAGGCAAGCGAGCAAACAGAGCCTGCCCATGATGTCAGATGGCGCCATGACGCATCGCCTTGTCAGGGCCTTCTCTGGGACGTGGCGTGCGGAGAGGGCATCGTGGCTATGCGAGCACCCCTATCCACCAAACGATGGGTCTTCGGGCAGTTCGACTCCGCGATTGCCTGGAACCTGTCGTCGATCCGAGTGAAGGCAGAAGCTGCCAGATGTACAGTAACAGAGGAGAAGGACATTTTGCTGTCGAAGCTGACACTCGGCGCAATTGTTGCGCAGTGCTGTGTTGAGATCCAGAGAGGGTTAATAAACTCGACGAAACCCAAACCATCCTGATCCCACTGCGAACCACGCTCCTTGCGTAAGCTCAAGTATCTCTTCTGGTCGAGGGTTGAGGCGCATCGGAGGAGGGATCATCAATCCAGAGGCCTTGTGACACACCCACATGCCATTCAGGATGGAATTCGGAAAGAATTGCATCACAGAGTTTGAGCAGAAGATGACTGCGAAGGCCCCTCTGGTTTTGGGTGTGCAACCGAGGGACCCACACCACAGGGGTGTCATGCGATTTTGGCGCACATTGCATCCTGAACCCGCCACTGGGCACCAGCACTCCACAGGTCCCGGCCAGGATGCTTGGACCTGTTCTGCGACAGGCCCCCCCCAGGGCTGTGCTGTGAAGGGTTGGACGGGCTCCTCGGGAGGGTTGAGGGGTTTCGAGATGTAGAAGTTGCCTTGCGTCTTGGGCTTCGTGCGCCCTCAGGCAGCGTGCATGAGGGACAACCAGGACTTCGAGCGCTTGCGAGATGCCTGTGACATCATGGCAAAGCTGCGGTGCAGATTGCTCAGCCCATTGCAAACACAGACCTCGAAGATGTCGAATCTGCTAAGCCCCGAGCTCTCTTTTCTATTTGGACCTCGCAAGCAAGGTAGTGGAGCGCATATCAATCTGGCAAGCCTCGAGGGCGGCTTCGGGGAATCAGCCAAGCTCTTAGCCTGCGAGACGCTGCAGAAAACTACTCTTGAAGGACACTTGAAGGTAGCTCAGGTGATCATGCACATGGGCGCAACGCACGTGTAAGTGTCCACCAGTGTGAGACACACAGTGCATCAAGATGTGCAGATGCGAGTCACTGTACAAGCCGATGCTGCAATAAGACAGACGAAGTGATGAGAGCAAGAAGCACTTTGGAGGCGTTGCACATTGCGGCAGCTGCGGCTGTAGCTCCGAGCTCAAGTGCTTGGTCTTGCCGGCATAGGGTTTAGGGTTTAGGGTTTTGGGTTTAGGGTTTAGGGTTTAGGGTTTGGCACCAGAAGGTACCGGCGAATGGACACTAAACTAGGTCTTTCATCTGAGCATAAAGTTAGGTTCCATGGCATGGGAGGTCAAGATCACTGCCATTGCTCACTTGGGAAACAGAGACCTCTTGTGAGATTTCTGTGCCACGGCTGAGGATGGCAGTGCGAGATGTGCCAGAGCTGTGGAAATGCTTGTACGCGCCATTCTTAGATGCCGACTTCAACCAACAAGCTTGTGTTTCAGCCGGGTTCTCTACTCAGAGCTAGCAAGCATTCCCAGCCTTGAGGCAATGGGTTCGACAGGATGCTGCACGTCATGTCATCATTTTCTTAATTGAGTTTGTGGGGAACGAGTGCCTCCATAATCCGCGTTGCTCCCTGCCCTGACGTGAGAACCCAGCCCCTCAGTTTCGAAATTTCAACCGTCGGGAGTCGGGACCCCTGACGTCAGAATTGGGCACACAGCCGGCTGAGCTGAGGGTGTTCGTGCATCCATCCAATGTTCTCTTAGGCCATGCCGTTGTTGTATTTCAAAAGGATCATGCAACAGTGTGGCGTCTCCAAGAGAGGGGAAAATCATGAAAAGTGAAGGTTCGCTCAGTTCGCTCGCTTTAGGATAACACATCGCTGAGGCATGGGCATGGACGTCAACGCTCAGGATGATGCCGGCGAAACACCCCTGCATTGGGCTGCCATGACAGGCTCGGCCGTTCAGTTGCTTTGCACGGTCACAATCGCGCATGCAGTTCACGTTGCTACCTGTGCAGAAGTATGCTCCACGCCACGAATTCCAGCAAGCTGCAAGGCAGAGCGTGGGCGACAGGCTTTCTTCTTCGGAACGGATCGGATCCTCTGCTTGCGAGTTGGTCCGGTCCTGCCGCCACGTTTGCACGAGAGCCGATGACCATCGCGTAGTTAGTTGGTGGTGGGGCGGGGGTCCAGTGGACTGGCTTCAGGAAGCTAGCGGCAAGCGGCAAACCTCGACACTAGCCTTGTTATCGTCGGAGGGGGGGCGAAGCCCGGTTCTAAAGTTGCTTTCTGGCCTTTCTTTCGACACCTGGGCCAGAGCTGAGGTCAGTACTATAATACGGGGGCTCTTATTCGAGCAGAAGCACATGTCTGCCCATCAGAAAGCATTGTAGGCTTGGGGGAAGAGGCGTTCTTGTGTTTCCTCTTCGGGCTTTGTCTCTTATGCCTTACGAATCTCTCTGCCAGGCGCCTCAGAATGTGTACCCAAATTCCATTCTGTCGGAATGGTTACTGGGGCGCTTATGTTTGATCTCCAGAGCGCCCAGTGTGTGTTTCGAGCTGCGATGCTGGGCAAGTCAATATTTAGGCAGCCAGCCGGAGGTTTGCTAGAGGTGAAGCCGAAACCTAAAAATGTCTTGACAACCTTGCTATTCTAAGGAGTACGTTGCAAGTGGGTGCGTGTTCTCACATGCGACAGGCAGCGCAAGATTTGGGTGTTTAGCGTGAGGCGGAACAAAACAGGAGAACCCTGTATTTTCCTAAATGGTCCCCCAAATCAGATGAGCACGAACATGCTGACTGACGCGGCCTGTTTATCTTCGTGACCGCGCATGCTGGACCCGAAAACCGTGTGCCCCGCGGCCATGCACGTTTCATGCCTGCCGGCTTGCTGGCCCTTGTGACAGGCTTCCGGCCCTTTGACGTTTGCTGCACAGGGCCGGGCACTGAGATGGGTGATTCTTGTAGGGGACCCCTTTTTTGCCCCTTCATTTTTGTGTTTTTGGCATCTTTTTTGTGGTGGTGGTGCGGGGGCTGTGTGTTCTCTATGTTTCCAAAGGAAAGCCTCTCCTTTCGCTATATTTTCATAGGGAGTATTGTGGTTTTCCTACGAAATATACAGAAAATAGAAAAAGAATAGAGATTTCCTGCAACAACAGAGATATTCGAGGTTGTTTTCCTAATGCAATATCGGAAATAGATGTCTTCCTATTCAAAGATCGAGACATCGAAGTTTTCGTATTAAACTCTGGAGACAATAGAGGGTTTCTTATGACAATATAGAGACAATCAAGGCTTTCCTGCTAAAAATTGAGAAAATAGAGGTTTTCTTAAGGGCACCCCCCCCCCCCACCCACCCACAAAAAACAAAAAAGACACAAAATGAAAGGGCGAAACGAAATTCTCCGCCCTAGGTTTGAAGCAATTAGTCAGGCCATCGCCGGGTGTTGGACATCCGGCATGCAGTAGCCCTACTTGGAGTAGTACCGCGACTGGCACACTGTATGTAGAACCCCCTTACACAATTCAACAGGTTGTTGTGGGGGCTGTTGCGCGGTCCCGTTCTGCTTTTCTTTCCACTCTTTGAAGACCGTGCGAGAGGCCAGCCGCCTTCCTCGGGGTGGAATCGAAGCTGCTTGGCTAGTGTCGACATGTTGTCGGTCTCCTGGAGCATAGGTCAGGCAGGAGAGACAACACTCTTAGCAATTCGGTTGCGGTGCGCCTACAGATCTGATCTTCCCGAGGAAAGTCTATGAGATTCTCAAAGGTTGGACACAGGCCGAGCGAACAAACACTCGGAACTTCTTCAGTGCTTCCACGTCAGCTGCGCAGCTCTGTCGCCCCCTTTTGCTTACTGTTGGTTAGTAGGGAATGGGGGAATGGGGGTACCCTGTAGAATCCCTCAAAGGGTATATGTAGTCCCTTAAAGGGTAAATATAGGGCCCTAATTCCCTCATTCCCTGCTAACCAACAGCAAGCCTTTGCAGGCAACAGTCACTGCTGGTCATGCCGCCTTTGCCTTCGATGACGAGGTGCCACCATACCCTAAACCCTAGACCCTAAAACCCCCCTACACCCTAAACCCTAACCCTAAGGAGAACTGGGCCCTTGGGATGTTTTGTATCATCCCTTCTTGGTTTAAGAGGACCATGCTGAGAAATGGCTAGCATACTGAAGGGCTCCAGGAAACAAAAGAGCCCTAAAGCTCTAATCCCCAAACTTCGCCAAGAACTCCGAAGCCCTAAAACTCTAAAACCGAAAAAGGCAACAAGCCCCACCTGAACCCTGAACCCCGAAGACCCTACGACGATTCTGGCCTTCGGCCTTTGGCTTTTGGCCTGGCAGCCGAGGGCCAGTCTTCCAGAGCCGAGCCCCCTGCCCGTCGGGCACCGAGATCACCGAGCAAGGCAATTTCAGGACCTCTAGAGCGCGGGCTTGTTTGGGGTTTGGGGTTTAGGGTTGAGGGTTTAGGGTTTAGGGTGAGAGCTGTATAGGTCTTTGCATGGTTTATGGGGCTTTTAGAGGATATTGGCATCATGTACCAGTGAAAACACTCGTGCGGCTACATGCCTCGGCGGTCTCCAGCTGAGGACCTTACCATCACATCCTTTGCAGTATGTATGACAGCCTGCTGCCATACCCATGCAGCTTCCCAGGACGACCGCCCTACAGCCAGGCAGGGGTACCCGGAGCAGCTTAAACAAGTTGCACCGCCACTGGCCACGACAGACAAAATGCAAACCGGAACTATCAAACCCCCTAAACCCTAAACCCTAAACCCTGAAGAGCATGTGCTGAGATGTGCTAGGTCGCGCTTCACCCCTTCCCCCACCCTGGTTGCCCTTCGCATGGCCCTGGGCACTGCATGGAGGTTGCAGTCGGTTAGCAGGGCCTCCAATCACAACCCTAAACCCTAAACCCTAAACCCTAAACCCTAAACCCTAAGCTGTTCTTACGCTCCGACATGGCGCACCTTCGGGTGCGCGGCGCAAGGCTTGAAGAGCTCCTGAGGCTTCGAGCAGCGGTTGGGCGTTTTAGGTGAGTTGCTTCTGGTCATTCGGGTGCAAGGTGTTTCATGTAGTGTCTTAGAGTTTCTGGTCCGCTTCTTTTCAAGTGCAAGTCCGCGTAGAACCACAACGTGGGCGGAGCCGCATTGCGCCACAAGGCCTCAGGTTTCTAGTCTCGACATATCCACGAAGACTGGGGGTCTCCTCGGAGGTTCTTGTCCCTTACCGTGCTTTTCGCTCGGCCAGGTAGGCCATGGTTTCGATGTCGAGGTTTGCAGTTTAAGGGGACCACGACCCAGTCATGTTTTCAAAGCAGACATTACATCCAGGGTTCGGGGTCTTCAGATGTATTCCGGGTCTAGCCTGCAAGACAACGCTTCGGTCCGGAGATCACCTTTGGGGGTTTTCAGCTGTTTCAACCGGGCTCTTAAGCTTCCTGTACTTGATTCCCAGGGCTTGAGGTTTAACCGGGCCTCACTGCGGCAAACAGAGTCCAATCTGCACACGGGCCCTCGAACACATGAGTTTGGGCGCAGGATCATCTCTCAATGTTTTCAGACTGTCTGTCAGCAGGTCCTGAAAAAGGACCTTGTCACGTTGCGGCAGTAAAAAAAAGTGCCGTTTTGTATGTGCACACAGCAGATTGCATGCCTGCCAGGCTTACGGCCATTGGTGGTCACACTTCCCATGCGCAAGCATTACAAGCCTGGCTTGAGCAAGGTAGAGGGCATGCGCCGAAGCGCAGAAAAGCCGGCATTTCGAGCCAAGAGAAAGTCCCCCTTACACTGCGATGTGAAGCCAATGGCAAGTCCTGAATTGCAAGACATCGCACAGGCCTCACCCGCAATGTCACAGTGCAAGCACCAGCACTACTGCACCCCTTCACGTTGCCCGACACATGCTCAAATACGATGTTGTCTTCAATATTTTCAGAGCAGTGTAGCCTTGCACATTTCGAAGCAAGACGAAGGGCACTTGCAGCCATGGGTTTCAAGTATGTCTTCATACCAGCATCTTCCAGCGATGACATGCAGGAGGGCGTTGAAATTACACGTGCCGTCAGATCGTCGGCTTTTACCCATTGCTTCAGGAGCTGGAATACGAAACAGACGTCGCAACTTTGGAGTCGGACTGCGTGGTCTGTGCGTGGGTTAGGCATGTGAGAACCTGCTCACGGTTTGGTGTACCTGCCAGGACACGTTTCGGACGTTTGTCGAGAAGTTCTTCGCAGCCGTGGGCGCCTGAGCGCTTTGAAGTGCAGCTCGGTTGCGTGCACTGGCAGGCAGACCGTGGTAAGCTTCGTTTACTTGCGATCAGTTTCACACTTCGAAGCAGTTGGAAGTGCAGAGTCGCTCAGGCTGCGGCTACTGCCGACCGTGATGTATTGCTGTGCGCTACCTGAGCCATGCTGTGTGCCACGCGGGTCTTCTGCGCAGCACGGTACAGCCAAAACAGGCAACAGCTGAAAGATCGGACTGGCGTCGACATCCAGGTCGGCTATCATCATTCCGCTGATGTTGGGCATTGTATGCAATGGGCACAGTGGCCCTCTTTCCAGCGGAATCGTGTCAATGGCGTTGACTTGCCAGGAGAAGACAGACAAGGGCGAGATGCCAAACGATGCCTCTAACTCAAGAACACTCGTGATGTCTCCGTGACTAGTAGGCCCCATTGGGGCACAGCGCCGAAGCCTCCCTCGGAATCAGTCTATTCTTACTTTTCGACATCAGCTTGGTGGTGTGCTGCTCTGGGTTCCGTGGAATCTGGGGACCTTTCAGGCTGCACATCCCGAGTAGGCAGCGAGTAGGCAGGTGAGCATTCTGAGGAAGGCCCTGGATGGCCTTGGAAGGCTTTAGGGTTGGAGGTGTGCTCCAGCTGGGACCTGCAAACGACCTTGGTGGCAAGGGGAACTGTGACATGCGAGCCTCCAAACAGGAGCCCAAGTGTGCCAATCACACGACTGTCCGGGCACGCGCATGCGTGCGCCCGTTCAAGCATAGCCGCCTGCATCCGCACTGGCGATGGAAATGGGGCAAGGGGGCTTCACAGCCGAGTTTGTCGATGTACCCCCTGAAGTGCGTTCGAACCTCGGTGCGCACGAAGGGGACCGACGCGAAGAACCCAAAGCCTCCAGCCCTGCTGTTGTTTGCAACCACGGTGCCCTGTTGCCCAGATGGTGGACAAGCTGCTTTCCGCCAGCAGCGTCGAGATCTTCCCTGTGCAGCTTCCGACAAAGGATATTTCGCTGCTATCCACAACCTTCAGCAACCCAGACCCCAGACTGATCAGGAATCCTCTGACTGTCTGTGCGCCAGAACAAATGCTCCGACATCTGCAGGACACAGGATTCCACGCAGTGAGCGTGCACGCCCACGCTGGAATATGCTGGAATTGAGCTGGGTGTTGCTCGTACGTGAGCAGTGGAGCATGTCACCAACTCGCATCAAGCCAGTTTTGCTGGAAGCGAGACAGGTACCTGGATGACAAGGGTGTGGCCAAGAGCTTGGAGGACTCCGGGAATCGAGATGCCGAGCACAGAATTTGGCTATCAGCATGTTTCGGTGCGAAGGAGAACATCCGCGTCTCCGGGCTGGTGCAAGATGCAACCTGAGATTCAAAAAGCCTTAACTTTAAAGACAGTCAGAAGTAATTGCTCGGAACGCTCATTTCTGAGGCCTGTGGATATCCCGGTCAGACATTCAGAGGGGACTGCTTTGTCGGAAGGGTCTTCGACGACACCGAGGCCCTCGGCATGCACCTTTTCAAAGGAGTGACGCTGCGGCAGCGTTGCTTAGGATGAGTGGAGGAGGATGGATTTCACCCTGAAGGCTGGACAGAACCCAAGGATCATCTCTTGGATGTTCCCCGTTATACTAACAGTCCCTGAATAGGGATTGGAATAGGGTAAGCTCTGTTAGTATAAGGGGGGAACATCCCAAATCATCTCTGAAGAAAGGCATGTCCAGTTCAGAACTTCATGCAGGATTGTAGCACTGATGCGGACTGGATCCAGCAGACAAAGATGCAGCGCGCAAACAGGACTGACCAGATGAATGCCAGATGTTGGAACGATCCATTCCCTGGGGCATTCCCTTTTGCAGGAAGCAAGGCGATTTGCAAAGCCTGGCGAATAGCATGGGCGTCAACAATCCAGTCGCGTGGTCGCGCCATAAGGCGTTTTGAATTATGCTTGCCCCCACTGAACCTTAATCCCATTCGAGGCTCAGATCAACCCTTCCACGCTGGCAGCTGATGCTCCACAGGGTGAAACTGCAGATTATTCTTGGAAGCAGGCAGCGCTGCTCGCTAGACTGCCAGAGTCGTGGCTTCACATAGGTCTTGCTGCTGTGGTCGGTAGATTCATGCGTGCGTCTTTGCGGCGTAAGTGATGCCGGGCTTGTGATGAATTGAAGATCTGCTCGACAATTGGTTCCCAAAGGCTGCTGCCAGGGTTAGACCTGGGTGTTTGCCGGCAGGTGCCTCTGACTGCTGTGCATGGCCTTTTGGACTCCGAACTTCAATCAACTACGGGGCAGGGTCGGGATTACGTGTGCGGAAATCGCAACGTTCACTCAGCGCGGGTACAGAACACGTGCTGCTGTTAAAGTCGGGTCGTCAGATTGCAGGTCTTTGTAGCTCTGATACTACAATGAATTGCTTTACTTCGAACATCCCCACCCTACGGCCACTCTGGGGATACTCTGGGTGGGGATACTTTGGACTTCGTGGGTTGGGCACTCAGGGAGTGGATGCCACATTTAGCTGCTGTCCTGCCATGCAGTTGTTGTCACTGTTTCTGCCAGTCAGAAGATGAAGTTGAGGTGCAGCTCTTACCTGTTGTTGGCACTGTCTCAGGAGTTTTGGAGAGTTCTTCGAGTTTGTTTGGGATGCCTTGTTCTGTCCTCCCGAGGTCACCTTCAAGAAGGACGGCTTGCAGAAAGGTGACAAGAAGTTCGTGAAGGCTTTGGAATAGGGGAGACGGAGACGAGTGGGGACACCGCCTCATGGTCAAACGCACATTGAAGCCTGCACCAGAAGAGCCCTGCGTCGATCGAGGTGGCTTTTGGACGCAAGCGGCTAAAAGTTTCAGTCAAGGACCAGGCCTTGCAGATGGCAGAAGCCGGAATGAGTGTTTAGCTTCGTGTGTGGGTTTTCTCGGGTTTTGGCTGGCTTGACATGGCTTGGTTTTTTGGCTTCTAGAGAACACGGCTGTCCTGGGTAGTGAACAATGGCAGTACCGCGGCGCGTTGCGCCAAGGGCTGTTGTTCGTGGCCGGCTTGCCCTACACCCTGAAACCAAAACCCCTAAGCTCCAAACCCTTGCAACAACCAGGTGATCATCGACTCGGCACTTGCCGGCAACACCACTGCAGATGAGTGCACCTGGACCCTCAGCGACGGTATACTTCAAGCCGGCGCCTAAGATCGAAGTAGGCAGCAGGGGCCTTAGGGTATCTTCGGCACCTATGGATGCTTAAGGAGCTCACCATAGTTCACCAATGTCGCAACCTGCTCCTGACACCCAGAAGGTCACGCTGGCCAAGGCAGATGGAGACACCTGGCCTTGACGTCAGTTGCTGTGGGAACGTGCGGGGTACACGCAGTGCGTGTGCAACTTCCGGAGATCAGATGCAGATGCTGGGGGGGAGGAGAGGGGAGGGGGAAGGGGGGTTGATCTAAATGAAGTTGCGGCACACTAACGTGTAAGCAAAGATTGTCATGGAGACCCAAGAGAAGAGCCCATAATTTTGATCAACCTCTCATGCAGCATCTACCGACAATGCTGCTCTTCGGACCATCTAGACGATCTAGACTCCAGCCACCATCTCTGTAAGGTCCCAGCTGCTGGCGGAGAGTTAGCCCCACAACCCCAGCGAGGTTAACCAGTTTTGGCCTCATTAGCTCGCAGTGCTTTTGTACAGCTGAAGCGCGTTTTGTAGATAAACTGAGATATCGATGCGCTCAAAGCGCCCATGGCGAGCAAAGAAGGGCAGTTGCTCCCATGGATGCATGCAATGACCTCATGTTTGGGGGTTGGGGGTTTAGGGTTTAGGGTTTACTGTTTAGACTCATGCTGTGCACGTTTGCTGATCCTGCTTGGTCTTGACGCTGGCCTGACCTCTTTGCACACGGAGCTTGCCATGACAGCATTTCCGCTTACGGGGAGGGTAGACGTAGGGCCTAGGCCTTTCTTCAAGACGCTTCTCGCAGAAGAGGCGCCACCAAGTTTGGTGGAGACTCCTGTGTGAAGCCAGGGACTGAAGATGGATGGTATCAAGCGACAGCCCAAGTGCAGTAGACCAGATGACATGCGAGGGCGAAGCAAGGGGCAAAAGGAAGAGGACATCTTTCGATTGGCTCAGACACCGGCTCCTGCAAGCGAAAGGAGACATGCCGCAGCAGCTGCTGAAGTTGTACAGATGCGTTTCAGGGGCGTGGCAGAAGGCGAATACATGGTGGTTACAAAGATTGCTTTCGTAAACCTGAGGCGGACAAACATTTCTCCGATATACGCCGACCCCGAAGAGAGCAGAGACTAAAGGAACATGGGAAGCATAGGAGGTGGGAGTCGCCATGTGGAGAGAGTGGTCCGAGTTTACCTGCGATATCGTGCGAGTGCAACATACCAAAGTAACTCAGGGCTCGCCCCCTCCGAAGGAAATCAGACAAGAACGAGATGTTTGGGGAAAGAGGGAAGAAAAACAAAAAGAGACAGACAGCAAAAACAGCAGAGTCCTCCAAGAGGTTGCAGTCAGTTCATGCTTCGGGGCTCAGTTGCTCAGTACACTGGACTTGGGCAGGTAGCTGCTTCACATGCAAGCCGACGTCGATGACAATGAACGGCGTCCCACCCACTCGTACCTCGCCAGCGTTTCGCCAAGCGACCCCTAAACCCTAAGCCCTTCCCATACTCGCAGCCCAGGAGAAGCAAGCCCAGCCAAGAGGAGGTACTGGAGCCCCCGATGTTCGGCATCGCTACGCAGGCGGTCTACGCAGGAGTGATCGGAAGCTTCCTCTACGGCTGCCTGGTCGAATCTATTTTGGGTTTAGGGAAGAGGCTGGGGAGCATGTGGGAGCTCCGATGCTTATACAGCGTGCTTGCCACTTCAGGCTACATGCTGTGCTACCTGAACTCCTGCACCATAGCTGCACCGAATTTATGTGCTGAAAGAAGAAAATCTCAGAGGGTCTTTGCAGCGTTTCTTGCAGCAAGCGCCTCATGGCAAGGCATGGACTTCATCACACTGACTTTCGAATGGTGCAAGAGCGCTGTCATCTCGGACTGCCTAGCAAGCCGCATTAATTCAGGCAGGGGATCTCGGAAGCAAGCGTCGGTGAAGGCAAAAGTAACACGCTGTAACGGCAGTGATGTGAGGGGACTGCATGTGCAGACGTGCGACCTTCCATTTCCGAAAGAGATCCAAACGAGCGCAGAACCTGCCCGCAACAGCGTCATGGACCACCGCACCTTTAGATGTCCTGGCCGATTTGGGTCGATAGACTCTCACCCGGCATTGCATCACATCTGCCAGGCCTCATCAATGCAGTACTGTACCTTGGAGCTGCTGCTGGGGCTTTGCTACTTGGTCGGCCGTTCATGGCGGACCACAGCTACCCGGCTTTGTCATCGGCTCTCCCCCGTCGCTTGTGGCTCTCAGCAGAATTACCTAAATGTTTGGTCTCCCTGATACCTCCCAATTTCGTAGAATCCTCCACTAACACCCCCCAAAGTGGCACTGAATTGCGGAAACCCCTGTATGTACAACACTCCCCTCTCCCAAGTATGCAATCAAAAGAACACAGCCTAACACACACTCGTCGTCTCCTTCGTAGCCAGAAGAAGAAGAACATGTTGATTCTTCGATTCTTCTGAACAACAACTTAACCATAACAACAGTTCATTACCAGAATAAGAACAATATCATACCCTACCCGAAGCCCTAAACTCTAAACCGTGTGGACAGCGTCTGTGGCAAAAAGGTTCCCGGCAGCAGCTGATCATCTCCGAGCTTGGGATTGCACAGAGAAAGGTCTCTGACTTGCATGTACATGTATACTATATATGTATATATATACACACAGAAGAGGAGGCTGCGCGGCGTGCGTTCGCTATAATATATGTATATATATATATATATGGGTCACCGCCTATAGCGGTTCCCCTGTGTTTTTTTTGCACATTCCCTTAAACCATCTAACCAAGAATCCCTCAAACCATTAAACCAATGGTCTCCCCCTAAACCATTAAACCATTAAACCATACCATTAAACCATTAAACCAATGGTTTCCCCCTTCTGAAAATCCCCTAAACCATTAAACCATTAAACCATTAAACCAATGGTTTCCCCCTTATGAAAATCCCCTAAACCATTAAACCATTAAACCATTAAACCATTAAACCATTAAACCATTAAACCATTAAACCATTAAACCATTAAACCATTAAACCAATGGTTTCCCCCATATGAGAATCCCCTAAACCATTAAACCATTTTCATGGCGGGCAACCATTGGTTTAATGGTTTAATGGTTTAATGGTTTAATGGCTTAATGGCTTAATGGCTTAATGGTTTAAGGGATTTTCATAAGGGGGAAACCATTGGTTTAATGGTTTAATGGTTTAATGGTTTAATGGTTTCATGGTTTAGGGGATTTTCATAAGGGGGAAACCATTGGTTTAATGGTTTAATGGTTTATTGGTTTAATGGTTTGATGGTTTAATGGTGCTCCTGCCGAGGTACCTCGACCGCATCTTTTCTGCTCCTAAACTTCTGATTCGCAAGCAGTGTCCCCTGCATCCTTTCTGCTCCGAATATTCTGAATCGCAAGCAGTGTCTCCCGTATCTTTTCTGCTCAGAAGTATACGTATACTATATGGGATTGCGCCTTAAACCCTAATTCTTAAACTTTAACTCTATAGGGCTTAAAGCTTCGGGTTTAGGTTTAATTGCCGGCTTAGGTTTAAGTGCCTCAATCATAAACCCTAAACCTGTCAACCTTAACCCTCTAGGGTTGGGGCGCCTACATCATGATCGGATTTGACGACCTCTGCGGAAATTTCTATATGACAAGGTTATAACTTATTGCTGTCGTTATAACTATGGGTTAGGGTTTGATTTTTATACACTTATGTAAACCCATAAGAATAAGGGGAGCCCCATCACGCCCCCAACAAGCGAAATATCCCAAATACTTTACCTTAGCTAAAATATCTCAAGCAACCATCCCCCGATACGCAATTCCTGAATTCCATCATTTAACGATATAGTTTGTGTATATGTTGAATCCCAGCAAGTAGTGAAAGTGACGAGCTCTGCGGATATATGCACATGACAAGGTTATAACTTTTTGCTGCGGTTATAACTATGGTTCAGGATTTGATTGATATACATGTAAATTAGCCTATAAGAAAATGAGGGTAACGGTAACCCCATCACGCCCCAAAAAGCAAAACAAAACCTCTATCCTAAAATCTTTACCTTACCTAAGATAGCTCAAGCAAAACATAAACTCTATCCTAAAATCTTTACCTTACCTAAGATAGCTCAAGCAACCATCCCCCGATAAGCAAAACTTGAATTATCCTCTTTGTTTATATTTTGAATCCCATGAAGTAGTGGATTTGCTCACAGTATTCTCGCGTCACCGGGACGAAAGCGCTACAAACGTAGGCATAACCCTATGGGATTCAAGGTTTGGGGATTTGAGCCCCAAGCGCTCTGGGGTGTTTTAAGGTTCCATTGTATAGGTAATTAATGCCCAAACCTTAAACCTAAACCGTTAAACCCTATAGGGTTCAATGGTTCGACAACCTAAGGTCTGGACATGTATACCTTCAGTACCCTTTAGGGTTAAAATCTTTGAACCTTTGGGAGCCCTATAGGGTTTTACGGTTCTGACCCTAAACGAATCAGGGTTAAGGTCTGAATGCCCGAACTTCAAACACTTAAGATTGAAACTTTTCGAGTTTTCGTTTTAAATGCCTAAATCCTAAACCCCAACCCCTTAAACCTTAACTCTATAGGGTTTAAAGGTTCGGGTTTAGGTTGAATTGCCGGCTTAGGTTTAAATGCCTCAATCTTCAACCCTAAACCTGTCAACCTTAACCCTCTAGGGTTGGGGCGCCTACATCATGATCGGATTTGACGAGCTCTGCGGAAATTTCTTTATGACACGGTTATAACTTCTTGCTGCGGTTATAACTATGGTTCAGGGTTTGATTTATATACATGTAAATAGCCTATAAGAAAATGAGGGTAACCCCATCACGCCCCAATAAGCAAAACAAAACCTCTATCCTAAAATCCTTACCTTACCTAAGATAGCTCAAGCAACCATCCCCCGATAAGCAAAACCTGAATTCTATCATATAACGATATGGTTTGTTTATATTTTGAATCCCAGGAAGTAGTGAAAAGGACATTTGCTCACAGTATTCTCGCGTCACCGGGAAGAAAGCCCTGCAAACGTAGGCATAGCCCTATGGGATTCAAGGTTTAGGGATCTAAGCCCCAAGCCCTATAGGGCTTTCAGGTTCTATCGTACAGGTAATGCCTAAACCTTAAACCCTAAGCCTTTAAACCCTGTAGGGTTGAATGGTTCAAGAAAACCTAAGGTTTGGGCATGCATACCTTCAGCACCCTTTAGGGTCAAAACCTTTGTTCCTTGTAGAGCCCTGTCGGGTTTTAGGGTTCTGACCCTAAACGGTTCAGGGTTAAGGTTTAACTGCCCGAACTTTCAACCCTTAAGGTTAAATCTCTATGGGTTTAGGTTTAAAGTTTAAAAATACCTAAATCTTAAACCCTAGCCGCTTAACCTTAACTCTATCGGGTTGAACGGTTAGGGTTTAGGTTTCATTGCGGGCTGACGTTTAAATGCCTGAATCTTAAGCCCTAAACCTGTCAAACTTAACCCTATAGGTTTGGGGTACCTACATCATCATCGACTTGTTGCTGTGGTTATAACGATGGTTTAGGGTTAAAGTATATACATTTATGTAAACCTAAAAAATAAGGGGAACCGCAATAGGCGGACGCCCATATATATATATATATATGCACATATGCATATGCCACCTTGTATGTATATATATATATACATATATGTATATGTATATGTATATGTATATGTACACATGAAATGTGAGTGGGCAGTATATGATTTTTTGCGTTTTGTAGAGTGTAGGGCGTAGGGTTTAGGATTCCTTTCTGAGTTCGTGTGGGAGAATCCGTTGTTCATGCGGCGGGTCTTGCGAGGGCCTCCTAAAACAGGGATTACCGTGTTTTTCATAGTTTTGTATACGGATACTTTTGTGTAATGCAAAATATCCTTATTCTACCGTCCGATGGTATGCTTCAGGACTTGTTCTTCATATTTGGTGGCTTGGCCGGCGCGTTCGCTACCGGAATCAAGTGCCTGCTGGTGTCCCGCATGCTTTCCGGCATCGCCCTGGGAATCTCGGAAGCTTGGCGAATATCAGGTTTATCCAGGACAATTACAACTAAGACCTGTTTGGCGTCATCGAGCTAGCCTTGAAGCAAGCTGTGTCTCAGGCCATTGCAGCTCCAGTGTACATTGCGGAGGCTGGGCACAGCGGTCCCCGTCCGTGAATGGAGCAGACCGCGAAGTCTTCAAACCACGATTGATGTCACTTGTTCTTTTGTTGCTCTTCTGCTACTACCATCTTGGCTTCCTTGTGCCAGCAATTAGGCTGAACAGCTCCAAGCAAGGGGAGTGCATGCTGCACTCCCTCACTGTCGCTATGGCCAGGTCTCTCCTGTTGAGTATCGCGGCTTGCATGCCGCCAAACACGGGTTGTACATTGCTGTGGGAACCCTGGCAGCAAACGGAGACTGGGGCCAAAGCCTACCACATGCGCTAGCAAGTCTGGGTGGTGTGACTCGTCGGATCAAGGACTTCTCTTCGCAGAGCTGATCGGACTGCCCCAAGATCCTCCTGGCAACGGCTTGACAGAAGCTGACCTTCGTTTAGGCAACTCAACAGGTCTTTCATCGCACAACAGGGATCCCTCCAAAATCAATTCTTCCCCCGCCCCTTATTCCAGCTGTCTCAACGCGAGCCATGAAGAGGAGCACTGTATGTGCGGCTTTCCATGGGCCGAATAAGGTTGCGAGTTAGGCTGACTGATGGGCAACGGAATCCGGTCGATGAGATGTGAATCCGCCACATGTGCCTGCAGTTCACGCAATGCTCGCTTGTTCTAAGGAAGAAGTAGGAGTGGGACAGTCAGCTTGAGCAAAGGAAACCAACAGCTGGTTCTGGCGGGTCATCCTGGGACTGCCTATGCTGGCTGCAGGCCGGCCGCCTTGCAGCAACTGCTTTGCAGACAAGTGGCAGTATTGAGATGAGTTTTGGTTTTGGCACGCAGGGCTTCAGTATACTCTTATGAAGTTCGACCTCCCCATCGACCCGGCATTGTATCTGGTGCGTCAGGCCCGATGCGAGTGGACTTATGACCTCCACGATATCATAAGCTGTTGATTCTTTGTGTAGCTACAGCTGTCCTCGATCCAAACAGACCTTAAGCCTGCGCCAGGGCCAAATGGAAGAAGCCAGGACACATGGCATGTGTTGGCCGTCAGTTCTGGCCTTGCGTCGTCTCCTGGGTTGGTTCGTGCCTTTCACAGGGGCTGCGTGATTGCTCACCAGGGGTTTCGTGCTGCCGGGTAGGCAATCAGGCAATTGGCACTGCTCATAGTCTTATCGCGCTCTGGCATTCTACGAACACCTGTCTTGCCAAAGCAGATCTAGATGTTAAGACCGTGGCGACCAGTGGAGCCCAACCTGCAGACTTTGGAGCATTTTGGAGCCATGGGGTCGTAAGCTGACTTTGGGGTGGCAGTAAACGCTTCTAGGCTTATGTACGGTTCACAGAGCGTGCCATTGCCTTGTGGTAGCGCTCGAACAAGGATGATGCTGTACAAAACCTATGGACTGGCAGCGCCGGAGACGCCTCTTGCCGACAGCGAGTACTGCTTGACGGGCTCTTTTGCCCCTGCAATAGACTATTCTTAAGAGCTGGAAAGAATTGTAGGGGCTAGTAAAATACTATAATCGCACGCTCTTTGCTAGTTAATGACATTGTATTGTATTTGCTGCAAAAGACCCATTAAAACTACTATACTTCGCTGTGTCTTTTATATCAGGACAATGACAAAGCTTATGATTGAGGATTTTCTGGTAGAAATCTCTTTGTTATTGTTCTCGCGTTCTCTGCTAGGCAGTTGGTGCCATGAGATTCATGGTGTACGAAAGGAAAAGTAAAGGTTAGCCACTCTCTCCCTGTCACACCTTCGGATCTACCACTAGGGGGGTGTTTCCATGAAGAGCTCACATGTGAAGAGAACACTAGAAGTAATATGAAAGCGTAGGGAGATGTAAGGGGTGAAATGACGCACGGCTTGAATCCTCATATTATTGTGAACGGCCACGTGCGCGAAATGAGCGTTACCTTCCTACCATTGCAACCTTAGTATCGGGTCTTTTGGTGCGTCAGTCGAGCAGAATGCCATCATGAGAACATATGCATCCCTAAACCCTAAACGCTAAGCCCTAAACCCTAAACCCTAAACCCTGCCGGAGGTCTGCCGGGCTGGAGCAGGTCCGGGTAGCAAAGCTCGAGCTGAAGTTGAAGGACCTCGCTGCGCCATGGCCAGAAGAAGCAGTCAGTGCTGCCGTGAGACCAGTTGGACACCACAACAAGATGTCCACAACATTGACAAACAACATTGTAGCAGCGACAAGGTCTTCAGAGATCACGCCAACGCTCATCACGACACTTACACTTACACTTACACTTTTTCCTCTTCTTCCTCTTCTTTTTCTTCTTCTTCTTCTTGTCCACCTTCTCTATCTGCTCCTTTCAAAAAACACAGAGGCCCCGAGAAATTTAAGAGTATGAACTTGGGCCTCTCTCTTTTTTTCCACATTCCCACCTTTGCCCCCCACCCCCCCCCCCCAAGTCTCAAATAAGCCCAAAACCAAACGACGTACGATTTGGGTCTCTTGTTCCACATTCGCAGCCAAATTGCGCGTCGTTTGGCCTGCGAAGCCCCAAACAGGAGCAATCCCCCCCAAAGCCTCAAACAAGCCCCCCAAAAACCCCAAAAAGCGAATCTTGTCATGCGCGTGGCGGTCACTAGCGGAAGGGTAGCAACATTGAACAGGCGGTCAGATCAGGCCACAGAACACTTTAGGCTTGATTGCTTCGATCTATCCGGGAACCTTCTTCATTCGCAGTTTCGAAGCCAAGCGTGATGACAGCAAGGTCGTTGCCGCAGAGGCCCAGGGTGCCAGACGCATCACTGTCATTCAGGCGCACAATCTGCAAGCGAGGACGCCACAGCGAGCAAGCTGACCGCATGCTATTTCCATGATCTGCGCAGATGCGCGCAGGCGTTGCAAGATCCCTACCTGCGCTGCTCCGTTCTTTCTGCTTGGAATAGTAGCATGACATGGCCATGGCTTCTCTCACAGTCCATTGCACTTCAAGGTTGGCTTCTTCCTGGCTTCTTACCAGCAGCCGCCCGGCAGATGCACGTGTGGCTTCTCCTGGTCCATGTAAAAAATCGCCACACTCACTGCGCTTCGTGAACCTCTAAGGCTCACAGGAATCAATGCTTGCGGCTTAGCCTCTGCGGCTTCGGGCACAGCGCTCATGTCGTTGATGCCGTGGCCATCAAAAGGGTCATGCTGCTGCGAGGCACTGATGGCATACTCGAATGGCCTCTTTGCCCAAGCTGGAATCCCCAACAGCGACTTGACGCTGGCATCGGTTGGGATGCTTGGGCAAGATTCAGATGCCCCCGGCTCATGCCAGCACGACTGAATCGATACATGATGCGGTGGAACATGGTGGAACCACGAACATGTCAGAGATGGTGACATGCTGCTTGCACGAGGCTCACATGCGCATGCACATCCACAGGGTGCGGCATGTGGATGCAACCAGACCTCGAAGCATGCGCCCAACAAACATGACAAGTTACGGGCTATCAGCAACGGAAGGTGAGAAAAAATCGGCACAACCAACGCAGTGAAGACATCATCCAAGCCGCAGCAGATTCGCCCTGAGCTCCATCCTATAAGAGCACTAGTGACTAGTGAAATTACTGACAGAAGCCTTGCTCACGAATGCAGCTGCATCCCTAGAGCACAGCGTCAGGAGGCCTTCGCAGCATGTGAGGAGTGAGCCTGCACGGAAACAGCCGTGTGATTGTGTTAACACGGAATCCAAGACCTAGCGAAGTCTCTCAAGCACACTCTGGCTGCGGAAATGCAAGTCTACATCATAGGAAGTATGGACAGCTTGCCACCACACTGAGGATGTGCATCGCCAACGTTCTGGTCTCTGCTTCCTGGAATCGCAGATGGTCAGTTCTCTAAACTTACGGATACAAGACGCCAGCGCATGGCGCCTTTTGTTTAGGGTTCCTAAAGGGGACCCACAGTTTAAGGATGATTGACGGTCTTACAAGAATGGGCAAAAAGCACACGGTCAGTCAGACTACCACCTGATTTTGGAAGCATGCCCTGAGGTTTGGAGCACCCACCTCGTGGACAACATGGGCCGCCGGTCCTTGCTGCTTTACGGCTGCATGACTCAAAGCGCAGCCATGGCTCCCTGGCTTGGAACAATAATCAGGATGAATCTTACCGTTGGTTCGTAGGGAATGGGGGAAAAAGGTGCCCAAGAAAACCCCTATATACCCTTTAAGGGATTATATCTGGTACCTTATTCCCCTATTCCCCTACTAGCCAACAGTAAGCAATTCAAAAGCTCAGGGCTTCTAGGGTTTAGGGTTTATGGTTGAGGGTTTAGGGTTCAGGGTTTAGGGTTTAGGGTCCACTGAGGCAGCCATGGTGTACGCTGTGCACTTCCTGCACCTTGGCACAAGCGGGAGACAGTGATTAGGCCAGTACAGGCAAGCCTGGATAGGCAGGAGCCCTTAACCCTACACCTTGGGATATTCCCCCTTTTTCTAACAGTCGTTCATAGGGATTGATTGTAGTACCACCTATTATAATCCCTATTAAGGACTGTTAGTATAAGACGGAACGTCCCAACCTACACCCCTCTGAGGCCCCTGGTGGTCCAAGGCCTCAGCGCGTTCATCTTCTTTAGCCCCTTGGAGCCCAGAGACCATTCTGGGGGGGGTTCCGGGTGGGGCCCGAGCTCTGTGACCGTTGGTGGCTGCGGCTTCTGTGATTCCAGTGGTTTTTTTGTTGAGTCTTTGATCAGGTTTCTTCGTGGTCTCGTGGAACTTCGGGCTTGGAGCCATCACGTGGCTGTGGCTCTCGGAGATTTACCCCATGGAAATCCGAGGAGAAGCCCTGCGAAGTAGACCTTTCAAGGGTAGCCCGGTAACTTCTAGAAAGCTGCTGGTACTGCTGGGCCATTGCTTTGGAGAGTGGAAGCACATGTGAACATGCGCCACCACGATCCCAAGCGAAAGGACCTGCCCTCTCAGCATGCGGTGTCATCAAGTGGCTGAGTTGTTTCTTTGTTGTGCTCATCGCTCGTTTCCTGACTCCCGGCCGCATAGAGGGATGTGCTTCGGGTTCCATGAAACGAGACTTGCAAGGGATCGTTCAGTGATAGTAGCAGCTTGTTCAAGCGATGTCGAGACTAAGGAACCTGCACTACTCGTGCATCCTCTTTGGTGCCAACCTCAGCACCAGATAGCGTAGCAACTTGATCGCAATCTCAATCTGCACTCGTGCCTGTAGCCATTGGAGCTGAGATTCGAAGCGCGGTACTCCTGTAGCTATAGGTCGACAAGCTACAACAAGCTATCTGAGTAGCGCATGCCAGCTCAAGAAACGTGGTTTTTTTCCTTAGCAATGAGACATAAAGCCCACCCAGACCAGCGGCAAATAGGGGGCATTCCCGAGACCACACAGGGGCAGCAAAATACGATCCATGAACAAAATCTGAAACGGACGCCGGTGGATAAACGCGTGGTACTCAAGAACTTTGTACTAAGCGAGGGAAGCATGGTCACCTAGCATCACCTGGCAACCTGTCCACGATGCGCCCACGGCACACAGTCTAGGTTGCACAAGCGTGTGCGATGGCAATGCTTGCTTTGCGAGCCCCGTCCAGCCCACTTGCGGCCGCCGGCGCGCATGAAGCTCTGGGCAGGCCCCTGAGGCATGCGCTCAAGCAGCCGGTCCCTGTGGAGGTTCCGTGGAAAATCAATAGCTCTGGTCCGTAGGCTCATTTAGGTTGCTTCATGATGGTTCATGTCTTTTCGTGGGCCTTGTAGGAAATTGGCAGCTGTTAGCAGCGTAGACCTGCGTCTGGAGGCTGCGGTTCGATGGACACTGGTTGGATGCACTTGCATAGCCCTTCGGCCTCGATTGCAACATCGTCGGAGCTACATGCAGGTCCGGCAATCAAAGGAGAGGGAATGGGTTTCTGTTCGCAGACATGTTCACAGGTTGTCAACTCCTTGACCCGTGCTTTTAGCTCGAATGTCTACCTGAACTCCCACGTCCCCTTGTCACGAGACGGCCCGTGTTGTTTCCTGTCAACGCTTTCTTCGATGGAGAACTTCGCCACATCTCGCGACAACGGCTTGAAGCAACAGGTCAACACCTAGGACCTACACCACATTCACTGTAGCTCTCATCATGCAAGATCCTGACAGCACATGCCGGGCCTAGCAACGCCGAACTCCGTGGGCCTCGGCCGATTGATATTTGAAGAAAGTGGAGGGTGGGAGAAGCAAGTTAGCTCCAGGCTGTTGCAGGGCGTGTAGCATGAAGTGGCGTACGTCTTTTTTTACATGGATGCGTGTAGGTTTACAGCCTTCGCATGTAGCTACGGTAGGTGGGCTCATGGATGCTGATGGCCAGTGTGTGCGGCAGCTATGTTCGATTCGTCCTGCTTTGTGCAGCGTTGTATACTGCGGGCATAGTGATCTGAGTTGTCAGTTGTCCTTGCCTGCAGCTTCTTCATTGTTTGCAGGTTGCTGTGTTAGCCCGACGATTTGGCAGCGTGATGCAAACTCAAGGTTTGGGCGCGTGGGGGAGGGGGCGGACTGGCAAGTGACATTCTTGGCAAGCCCAAAAGCATGGGTGGGGTGTGGAGTGCAGTGAAGCGTGTTGCAACGAGAAACAGGGGCATCCTGGACGTCGTCCAGGCTTTCTAGGACCTCCCTGAGTCTCTTGGGGGGTGGGCCGAGCACGAAGCTGCGAGCGGCGTACAGTGCTACCATTGCTGAAATGGCTAGCTAAACTTGTTCGGCGGCTGTTTCGGGATTTGCACTGTTCACATTCACGTTTGTGTTTACCAGGAGACAGAAGAAGAACGGCTTCGACTCGACAAAGAAGCTCGCGAGGGCATGCAAGAGTACATGAAGCTCATACAGGCCATGTCTACAGGGCGAGCGCAGCTTCCGAAATCACATCTTCTCGGCTCGCAGCTGTGTGAAACTCCGCAGTTGCACCAGGAGCTTGCGGAAAATGGGAACATCCGTGCCCAGAAGACGGCCACTTGGCGGTGGTGGCGCATGTGGCGTAAGGCCTCAGAGAGGTTGTTTGCCTGATCCCGATTCCAAGGCATGGAAGTGGGACATACGACAGCGTGTGTGGAACTACTTGGAAGACAACGATTTGGCCGATTTCCCGCGACCCGTCCACCATCGCATCCCCAACTTCCAGGGCTCCGCCCGTGCTGGGGAGCGGCTGGCAGAGCTCCCGGAGTTCTTGGACGCGAAGGTCGTGAAGGTGAACCCTGACACCCCGCAGAAGTCGGTTCGCGTGGCGGCTCTGCGCGCCCGCAAGATCCTTTACGTGCCTCAGCCACGTCTTCGGACAGGCTTCTTCTCCCGTATCGAACCTGGCACCGTCCCACCCGAAAAGTACAATTTCGCAGCCACAGCGCGTCGGGTGCTCAGCATTCATGTGGAGTTCGTCTCTCGATCCGCGTATGTGAAGTTAAGATAAGTTAAGTAGTTATGACTTATGTGTATCTGTTGGTCACAGACAGGCATATCTCGTCATGTAAGCTGCGGTTGCCAAGGCGGTATGAAGCAGCTCGCCGACCCCATGGACTTGGATGATAACACAAAGATCGACGTTGTTGTCGTGGGCTCGTCTGCCGTGCATCCTGAAACTGGGATTCGCGTTGGCAAGGGCGAAGGCTTCGCAGAGCTGGAGTACGGCATGATGCGACAGCTGGGCATGATTGATGAGAATACGCCCATCATCACCACTGTGCATGACAGTCAAGTTATCAGTGACGATTTCCCACCGAAGGGTAAAGGCATGATGAAGCATGATGTTCCCGTGGACATTATTGTCACGCCTACGCGAACGATTTACGTGAACAAGGAGAAGCAGCCTGCCAAGCCAAAAGGAATCTACTGGGATCTGCTGTCTCGAGAGAAGCTGGCAACAATTCGAGTTCTTCAGGACTTGAAGGCTAGAATCGAGAGCCAGACAGGCATAGAGCTTGAGCTGGCAGAGCAAGAGGAGGCGCTGCCTCCGCTGGCCAAGCGTGGGCCACAAAGAGGCCAAGGAAAGAGGAAGCCTCAGAGGAAGCCTGAGAGGAAGGAGATCCCAGAAGCCACCCAAATTTCTGGGGTCAAGGGTCGGCTCCGCAGACCTGAATAGTCCTTGGGGCCTCGAGAGACCTGCGCAAGAAACAGGGGGGGGGGGGGGGGGGGTGCACAGGATCGTGTGTTTCGCTTGGTTTGAAAATTGGGAGTTGCTGTTGTGTGCTGGGGGTCTTCCACTTGTAACCGCAGCTCGTCGTCATATCTGAGCCCTTTGCAACTGCATCTCGACCCCACCACATGCAAAGGCTCATCATCCTAAGCACACACACACAATGTTTAGTACTCCAAGAACTCCGGGTTATGACTGCAAGGTTCTGTCAGCTTCTTGGGCGTCCTGGGCATCTACCTCTGGGTGCTCGAGACCAAGGGCTGCGACATGGAGGATAGCCCAATGACGCGACCAAGCTCAAAGCTGGAACTCAGGGGGGGCCTTCTTCGATTCTTTAGATGCAACGTAGGCATTTGGGAGTTTACTCAGGGTTTTGCTTCGGGTTTTGCTTAGGGTCATGCTTAGGGTTTACCGGCTCTCGGGTTCGGATGGTGTGTCGTGCATGTCTTGTGGGTGGGCTCGGAAGGGTTCAGGGCCTAGAACCAACAACGGCAGGATCAGTACCAAGCACAGCTCTCCTCAGCGGAAATACAACATCCTGCTGGCCACCCCCAAGCTTTGCACAGGAAGACAATCAGATAATCAGCTTAATTAGCGATAAGGCTACGCAAGGCGCTTCGGAAGCGTGCTCTGCGAGAAGGAGTTGATTAAGAACAGTAAGGTGTGCAACGTTTTCCGCCTTATGGGGGTTTCCGAGCTTAGGGCTAACCAAATGAATAAGGGAATCCTACTCTTTGGGGGACTCTATAAGGGGTCCCCTTGTTTTCGTAAACTCCCTACTTAGAAAGCCCCTCCTCAATCGCAAGCTCAGGCCCCGGAGCGAAAGATCCAACTCGATCCTGCTGGGAGGCAGTGCTCCTGCAAGTTTCTCGGAGCCTATAACAAGCTCCTTGCGCAGTCCTGCTTGAATCCTAAACCCTAAACCCTTCATGTGGTGTGTGTGTGTGTGTGCATGTGTGTTCATGAAGCGATTGGTGCATCCCAGGCCCCCGGACTGAGCTTCTTGGAGGAAGTTGGCAGTTGTGCGATTGTTTTAGATCAAGGATGGTTTGGATGCTGCCAGAAAGTGCAGACGGGAGTTCGCTGGTACCGGGCTTTACGTCTTTCTTTTCTGGCGGACGAGCTCCCGTTCTTTTTCTTGGGTTTGTCTTTGGTGCAGTCCAGGCGATTTCTCACCAGATAGCCTTGATCACTCAATCACAGCTTCCGTCCATCAATGCACACATGCAGTTTTGACTTGCGCGCACGTCTCTACCACGTTGGAGCATGCACCGAGTTACCAGAAGATGGTTTTCTCCCCGAACGTGGAGGAAGAGGCCGAAGAGGAAGAGGAGGAGGAAGAGGAGGGAAAAGAAACACAAAGACAAAGGATTTACATGCAGGCCGCATGTAGTGCATCATTGCATTGTGTCCTCTCGTGCACTCTGCTATTGCGTGCTTGCACAGGTCGATTGATGCAATGTGACACGCAGGCACATGAGGTCATTCGAAAGATTGACCTAAATCCTGAGCTGTCGCTGATGTGACTCTTTGGAGACATCAACCAGTTTCTCTTTCTTGCAGCATTCAGTGGATGCTTGACCTTCGTCAGCTCCCATTTGACATCTGAACTTGCGAAAACTGGGTAACAGTCCAGTTATTTGATTGCTTGGGACGTTCTCAAATCCTCCGTCGGGCGACCCAATCATGCAAAAGCCGCGGACTAAGGGTTTGTTGGTTGGGGAAGCAACTATAGTTGCGTAGCTCTCTATGCGCCTCTGAACGTATTTTTCCATATTTATTGACAAGCGGTCTGTTGGTGGACCATTTGATATCATTCAAAAACCGAATATTCAGAATTGCGAGGACGAA